TTAATCTACAGGAATGTACCTTATATTAAATATAAGTCGCAAATGCAACAGAATACAAACACGACACCATAAGTTATCTACTCGTGTAACATTTTGTTACGTGACGGAACGTGACTAGGAAGATACAAAGTGATATAAGTTCCTTTAGGGATGTCCCACCTGTTTATTTCTTTGTTTATCAAAGGTTCAAATAAATAATTAGCCCGCTTGTATTATACTTTCCCACTGGGAATATAACTTTGGAACAGTTTGTTAAAATACGAAAATAATCAACAGGGGTTGACAACAACTTGCTATGGTGTTAAAATCAAATAGTACATAATTATTTTGTGACCAAGCTACTTAATAAAGTAAGTTAAAATATCTGTTTATCAAGAAACAAAGTTGATATTCGGTTTTTGCCCCCGAAACCCCCCCTGAACACAAATTTTTCGGACAATCAAAAAAAGTTTTTTCGCTGAGATGTAAAAGACATCTTAAATGAAAACATTCTATCCAAGACATGATCCTGATTGAGTTACAAATCAGGCGTTGAAGAATTATGTCAAAGTTAGTAACCAAGTTCTCTCTCTCTCTCTCTCTCTCTCTCTCTCTCTCTCTCTCTCTCTCTCTCTCTCTCTCTCCTTCTCCCTCTCCCCCTCTCTCTCTCTGCTCTCTCTGACTCTCTCTTTCTCTGTGCTCTCTGACTCTTTCTTTCCCTATGCTCTCTCTTTCTTTACGATCTCTCTGACTCTCTTTCTCTGTGCTCTTTCTGACGCTCCCTTTATCTATGCTCTCTCTGACTCTCTCTTTCCCACTCTGACTCTCTTTCTCGGTGTTCTTTTTTAATCTCGTTTTATCTATGCTCTCTTTGATTCTCTTTTGTTCTTACCTCACTCTGACTCTCCCTTTATCTATGTTCTCTTTGACTATCTCTTTTTTCATGTTCTCTCTGACTCACTCTTTCTCTATGCTCTCTCTCTGACTATCTCTCTCTTTCTCTGTGCTCTCTGACTCTTTCTTTCCCTATGCTCTCTCTTTCTCTACGATCTCTCTCTTTTTCTCTCTCTATCAAATTGGCTTTATCCTTGGCGATTTTTAATGGACAATATTTATAGTTAAGTGTGCTGTATTCATTTATTTATATATGTTTTATTAAAGAGAATAGACCCATTGTTATATTGGCTTAACATTACCGAAAGCTTTTTCTTTAAGACAATCCGATTATTAAAAATTGGGATTGCACAATTTTTAAAAATTGAAGACCTATAAAAATCTTTAAACAGGTTGATTGACTTCAACTTTTGTAAGTCCGTTTTTGGGAATTATTGTTTTTAAATCGGCTATCAATTTGATTTTTATTGATATCTTTTAATCCGGATTGTTTCCAGGCTGTTTAAAAAAGGAAATTTTGTATATATTTTATGAGTTTTTTTCTGCATAACAGTACCTGTCGTTTATCACAGTATACGACTTTGAAATCTAGAGCTTCATTTCAAACAAGCAATTAAAGTTGTGGGTCAAGAGAAAGCCCAAGTCTTTTTATAGACTATTTATTTGTGTTATTGACATTTGAAGATATTTTCAACTATAAACCTTGAATAGTTTTTCTAAAATTAGACCGGGGTGAATCGTGCTAAAAGAGCAGGGATTTCTAGCTTCCATCGTGTTAGATTTCCTTTGAGAAAATGCCTCTCGAAATATACCGAGAGCCGATCGTTCTCGCTTGTCACCGACTGTTTCGAAACCGAAATAAAACCTTAACTGTTATCCGATATCGTGACTGGTAACTGAGGGATGTAAAATTAATAGCGGGAGCTGAATCCCTCCCCGTTCCCAAGCGTTAATAAATATTTATAAAATAAAAATAAAGGCCGTGTTCGTGGCTTCGTGTATTTCATGTTACCCGGGGGCACTTTTTTCTACTCCGGACGGTCAGAGGAGGATAAAAAGCCGAAAACGCTCGGACAACTGTGAAATCTCAATGGAAATTCATTGGCGTAAAAACCCTAAGGATGTAATTACAAGTGGTATAATATATACAAAGGAGAGATAAGTCGGGTGATAAACAAGTCAATGGGAGGTGTAATTATTGACCAGGCTCCGTTTTAGAAATATCTTCATCTTGTGGCCCGTGTAGTTTTCTTTCTTGTATTCCCTTTTAAGATGATATCAGCCACCTCGAAAATGGTACTAATTTGTCGTAAGGGACTTTTCATCCGTTCGAACGGTTAATTGCCCGTAGTGCTCAAGGCCTTCAACGTTCTTACAACAATAACGATAATTTTAAGATAGTAATAAGTAGATCAAAGATTGCCCTTTTCTATGAAGATCCGCACGAATTTTACACTAATAATAAGGAGAGTTAAGCCTCTGTTTCAAAACTAGATTGAACGTTCTATTTTAAGATAATTTTGTCCATAAAACATTTAAATGCTAACTAATTTTAGGAAAGTGTGAGAGAGATATGGGTTTGAGTGTGTGGGCGTGTGTTTTTTTTTAATTTATATCTGCATGTACCACGTACAAATATTAGATTGTCTTTTTCTTTTATTTTAAGATAATTTTGTCCATAAAACATTTTTTTAGAGATAGTAAAAGAGGAAGGAAGAGAGGGACAGAGGGGGTGAGAGAAAGAGAAGGGGGAGAAAGAGAAAAGAGAAAAAGAAATGAAGAGATAGTGAGAGAAAAGAGCAAGAGATAAGGAGAAAGAAAGAGAGTGAAGAGAGAGAGAGAGAGAGGGAGAGAGAGAGAGAGAGAGAGAGAGGAAAGAGAAAATAAACGAAGAAAGATTGTGAGAGAAAGAACGAGAGAGAAAAGGGAAAGTGAGATTGAGAAGAGCAAGAGATAAGGAGAAAGAAAGAGAGTGAAAAGAGAGAGAGAGAGAGTGGAAAGAGAAAAGAAATGAAGGAAGATAGTGAGAGAAAAGAGCAAGAGAGATTGAGAACAGCAAGATATAAGGAGAAAGTTAGAGAGTGAAGAGAGAGAGAGAAGAAGGAGAGAGAGAGAGGAAAGAGAAAAAGAAATTACGAAAGATTGAGAGAATAGAGCGAGAGAGAAAAGAGCAAGAAAGATTGAGAAGAGCAAGCGGTAAGGAGAAAGAGAGAGAGTGAAGAGAGAGAGGAAGAGTGTGTGTGTGTATTTTTAGTTAGTTTTGTGAGTACTCACGTTATTTTCTAGATTATCTATATTCTCACTTAATTTATTCATAAATCCTTTGTTTCTGATATTTACTGGTGTACGGATCTGAAATTCTTTCTCCCTCTCCCCTTTTCTCAATCTCTCTTGCTCTTATTTCTCTCGCTTTACTCTCTCACAACCTTTTTTCATCCCTCCTTTTCTTCTTTATCTGGCCAACCTATGTTTTACCGTAAATATTCTAGTATGTATAATATCCAAGCGCCTCGATGGCCTGCATCAAAGCTAGATAAGTGGGTATGGTATAAATGAGGTAGTGGCCACTGGTAGATTATCGATTACCCAGGTGGCCCCCTGTTTTAATTGTAAATACCCTAGAATGTGACTCTATTTATTAGTGGGAATGTTGTATGAATTAGTATTAACGTAAACAGTCCTTTCCACGGAATATCCAAGGGCCTCGATGGCCTGCATCAAAGCTAGATAGGTGTGTATGATATGAATGAGGAAGTGGCCACTGGTAGAATATCGATTACTAAGGTGGCCACTCTGTTTTAATTGTAAACACACTAGTATGTGACTTATGAGTAACTGTATTTATTAGCGAGAATATTGTTTGAATGTTGCCGTGGGCACTGGTAGAATATCAATTACTCAGGTGGCCACCCTGTTTTAATTGTAAATGCTCTAATATGTGACTTATGAGTAATTGTATTTATTAGCGAGAATATTGTATGAATGTTGCCGTGGGCACTGGTAGAATATCAATTACTCAGACCACTCTGTTTTAATTGTAAATGCTCTAGTATGTGACTGATTAGAAACAGTATGCGAAAATGTTCCACGTAATATCTGAATAATAAGACACTCGTGTTTACTATATATACTTCTTGTCTATTTTTTCTTACGAATTAGCCTTTCTATTTTTTATTTATTCAATAGTTCACAGTTTACTCTATGTAGTTGTTGGCATTTCCTAGCATGGATTTCTAATTTCATGTTGCAATGACACTCTTCACTGATTTTGGCCATATTCGAAGGAGTCTATGGGAGGACATGAGCATATGGTAGAACGACCCACCAAATGGGTATTCTCGTGTACATCTTCAATCAAGGGTAAAAGTCAAAAAGAAAAAGTGAAATTATTTCAGGACGGAAGATTCTAATTATCCTGACGATCAGCCATGGGTAGATTGGTCAAAACGGTTGCCGCCCAAGGATACCCATTGGCAAACGGTCTACCCTTCCACTAGAGACAAGTTTCTATTAATATTCACCTGTTAAAATACCACAATTAAGCTCTCAAGCTCCTCAACCCTCGAGGCGGAGTCAGCGACCCCTGTAAAAGAACGAGACGCAAATGTTTTCCGACTAGTACGATGTACGCCCGTGCATGTCTTATGCTTATGAATTTATGATAAGCCGTTCGCCTTGGGGTGAATGTTGATGCTCGCGAATAATTTTCGCGCGGGGATATGCAATATATTAAACCGCTTCTGAATCCCTACCCGAATCGCAATTCAATAACAGAATTGATTGTTTTTACTGTAGGAAAGGTTAATACAAGGCCGTAACACAACCGGGAATGATGGAAATAGCATGAGAAAAAAGGAAGAAAAACAACTCTTAGACATGGTAGTAAAGCTTCACTAGATAATATACGCCAATGAAGTATGAGTTAATAAATCTATGAAACAAATCATATTGTTCTGCCAATAACCTGTCCAGTTGGTTTATGTACAGAAATTAACCTATCGATTTTGTCAAAATCATTCAAAACTGTTTTAAATCTTAAAAAACATGATTTAGTAATCCCATAATGGGAATTCTCCAGTATCTTCATTCTTTCCATGATTTGCTACATGTTTAATTTTATGTTGTAGGTACTCCACCTTTGATCGGTTCGGGTTCTTTGAAGATAATAGTCCAGGACGTGAACGACCACAGTCCCGAATTCGACAGGAGTGTTTATGTCGTAAGCGTACGTGAGAACCAACCGGCAGGGACTCGTGTCATCCAGCCCGTTGCGACTGACCTGGATTTCGGCCTGAACGCTAAAATAAAGTGAGTCACGTTATATCTATAACCTCGACTTTAAATTAAAACGATGGTGTGTTTTTTTAAGGTACAACTTGGTCGGCGATAACGTGGAAAGGTTCAAAGTTGACCCAGACACAGGGTTGATCGTTACGACGGAAGAACTCGATAGAGAAGAGACTAAAGTTTACTACCTGACGTTTGTCGCTAAAGACTGCAGTTTAACAGACCCTAAAGCTACTGCTGTTAATTTGACGATAATAGTCAGCGATGATAACGATAACAGTCCAACGTTTTCTTCAGCAACTTATGACATCAACATACCAAATTTTACAAAGCCAGGTAGGTTAATTTTATGTTTTTGTGTTTTTTATTAATGATTTCTATAAATTATGAAATATAGATAGATTTGGTCGTTTAAATCATACTTTTTCAGGGCAATTTGTTTTTGGCGCAAAAGCTTCAGATCTAGATGAAGGAGAAAACAGCAAAATAACATACAGCCTCAAAGGAAGAGACGCTGCTAAATTTACCTTAGATCCGAGAACAGGAGTGATAAAGGCTGCATCCGAGTTGAGTTTTGAAGAGAGCAAATCCACCGAAGGAGAGTACAAAGTTAAAATCATCGGTACCGACGGAGGCGTGGAACCGAGAGTAGCTCTCGCCGATCTAACCATCAAACTAATGCCTATCAGGAACTTTCCTACAATCAAAACACCCAACACGACACATTTCACTCTTCCGGAAGACATCGAAGTCGGTAAACTGATAACTAAAATCATGGCCAGTTCTCCCAAGCCGGGAAAAGCGGGTGTAATCCAGTTTGCCATAGCCGGAAGCAATATCGGAGATGCGATCAGGGTGGACCCGACATCGGGAGAAGTCTTGGTCGCCGGTGGAGGACTCGACTATGAAACGACACCCCAGTATGAAGTTTGGATTGAAGCGAGAGACTCGGACAATCCACCGCTGCGTTCTGTCGTTCAGTTGATCATAAATATAACCGACGCGAATGACAACCAACCAGTGCTGGAACTGCCGATTTACAACGCGATGATCTTGGAAGAAGAGCCTCCACAGCAAGAAGTTGTCACTGTAAAAGCGACAGATGCAGACTCCGGCTTAAACGGGATGGTATCTTACAAACTCAGGAACGACGCAAACGGTACTTTTTCTATCGAATCAGACACCGGGGAGATATACACGAATTATAAATTAGACAGGGAATTCATGTCCTCTTATCAATTGATCGTCGAAGCTGTGGACAGAGGTACACCGCAACTAACAGGCACCGCTACAGTTTCAGTTACGGTTCAAGACAAAAACGACAATCCACCGAGGTTCACTAGGCTGTTCAGCGTCAACGTGACTGAAAATGCCGAAATCGGATCTTTCGTCATTCGGCTGTTGAGCTCCGATCTGGACAGTGGGGAAAACGCCAACGCGACGTACATGTTTAGTCAAAATCCTGGAAAGAAATTTGCCATCGATCCGTTGACGGGGAATGTGACTGTAGCCGGACCTCTGGACAGGGAAACTCAGGACGAATATTTTCTGTATGTCGTGGCTTACGACGGAGCGTGGACTGCAGCGACTCCTCTCACCGTTACGATACAAGATCAAAACGACAACGCGCCCGAGTTCGATCATTCCTATTACAGCTTCAATTTTCCAGAACTTCAAAGGAATGTCAGATTCGTGGGACAAGTCTTGGCTTCTGACAGGGACAAACACGGCCCGAATTCCGTAATCTCCTATTCGCTCAAACATCCTTCCGATCTGTTCACCGTCGATCCTGCGAGCGGAGAGCTGTTTTTCAAACGGGCTTTGCGGTACAAATATTCCGCTTTGGATCCTTCACCGGAAAATCAGTACTCGTTAACCGTTTTAGCGACGGATAACGGAAAACCGCCCATGTCATCGGAATGTTTGGTAACGATCAACGTCGTGGACGCTAACAACAACGCTCCCAAATTCGAACAGAGGGAGTATTTCTCGCCGATTTTACAGAACGCTAAAGTTGGCCAGCAGATAGTCAGAGTGATGGCTACCGATGAACAGGATTATGGGATAAATGCAGAAATCGAATACGTCATAAGAGGTGGAAACGGTTCGGATCTGTTTACTATCGACAAAGACACTGGCTGGATATCTCTTCTCAAACCGTTCGACGGGAGTGAGAAAATCTCGACACAGTACATTCTTCAAATCCGTGCCCTCGACCACGGCGTGCCTTCCCAACACGACGACGTTCGAGTCACTTTGGTGATTACAGGAGAAAATAAGTACCCACCGGTGTTTACGGCGTTAAGTTATCAAGTGAATGTTCACGAAAACGAGCCGATAGGTTCGACCATCGTCACTGTCGCTGCGGCGGACATGGACGAAGGTCCTAACGGCATGATCAGGTACGTGATATCGAACGGTAACACCGAAGGGCATTTTACAGTCAACCCCCTCACAGGCGCAGTCACCATTTTACACGAGCTCGACTACGACACGATGAAAGAATACAAATTGAACATTACTGCCAAAGATCTCGGTTTCGCCCCTCGCACGGCCAAAGCGATGTTAACGGTCATTCTTACCGATATAAACGACAACCCTCCGACATTCAACCAGACCGCTTACGAAGCTGTCATACCAGAAAACTCCCCACCGAACACTGTCATCTACCAAGTCAAAGCCGTCGACATAGATTCACCAAAGAATTCCATCATACAATACTCGATAGTAGGAGGCTCTGGCAAAGACTACTGTGATATCGATTTAAAAACAGGAACCATTACTTCTAAGGTAAAATTCGATTATGAAGAAAGAACCAAGTACACTCTGGACATCCTTGCCGTAAATCCGGATTCTCCCATGTACGGATCTACAAAGGTGATAGTGAAGGTTTCAGGCGTTAACGAATATTATCCCACTTTTGTTCAGCCCGTATTTCATTTTGACGTATCGGAAACTGCTGAAATGGGCTCGACCGTAGGGATGATTCAGGCAACAGACTTAGACTCAGGAGACGACGGCAAAGTCTATTATCTTTTCGTCGGTTCCAGTAATGACAAAGGGTTCGCTATAAACCCAGAAAGCGGGATCATCACGGTGTCCAGGAGGCTGGACAGAGAAACTCAAAACCGTGTCGTTTTGACGGTAATGGCTAAAAACGCCGGCGGCATCAGAGGCAACGACACCGACGAAGCCCAAGTGATTATAACGATACAGGACGGTAACGATCCCCCGGAATTCTTGCAGCAGTTATACGAAACGGACATTTCCGAAGCCGTGCCTAGAGGGACCAAGTTGATTTCCGTGAAAGCCGTTGACAAAGACGTAAGACCGCAAAATAATCAATTCAGCTATTCCATCATCAGCGGAAACACTGGGCACGTCTTTAAAATCGATTCGCAGAACGGAGACATCGAAACCGTTTTATCTTTGGATCGGGAAAAGACACCGTTTTATTCCCTGGTGGTGGGAGCGATAGACATCGGTTCGCCTCCAGAGACCGGGACGACGATGGTCAAAGTTATCGTGACGGACGTCAACGATAACGGCCCATCATTCGATCCTCCAAATTTAACCGGTTACGTCGTAGAAAACGAGCTGCCTAACACGAGCGTTATGACTCTGAGTGCCACAGACCCCGATCTTCCTCCAAACGGTGCTCCATTTGCATACACCGTCGTCGGCGGAAAAAGCAGGGACTTCGTCAGGATTGATCGAAACACTGGTGTTGTCAAAACCACTAGAATAATCGACCGAGAAACCACGCCCGAACTAGAAATAATTGTAAGTAATTTTTATGATTTCTTCCTTCTTTTTTTTAGTTTTTATGCTTAATTATGATTTTTGTGCAGGTTGAAATTGAAGATAGCGGCCATCCAAAAATGAAATCCCGCCACCCAGTCAAAATATCCGTAATCGATCAGAACGACAGTCCTTCTACGCCGAGAACTGTTCACATCATGGTTTTCACGTTTAACAGTTTGTTCCCGACCGGCCTAATCGCAGACGTCCATCCCAACGATGCCGATACATCTGGAGACTACCACTGTACATTATTAGACAATCCTACAGTTCGAGGTCTACTGTCCATTCCGACAGGATGCGGTCTTCATACTTCAAGGGTGGCTATCGGCCAAAAATATTCATTCAGCGTGTCCGGTAACGATGGAAAACATCCAGACGCGATTTCAACCGCCACCATTGAGTTTTTCACATTTGACAACGCGACTGTCGAAAATAGTTTCACATTGAGAATAAACAACATGAGTGCACATAGTTTCCTCACTTATCATTACACGTCATTTGTCAAACTTTTGAAATCGACATTCGAACCTACAGATTCTCCCTATTTATACAGTTTACGCGAACACGAAAACGGCCTAGAGTTGTCAATAGCTGTGAAATCAAATAAAGGATACCGAAACAAAGTGCAAGTCTTGGAAATTTTGAGTCGGAAAGAAGATGCCATTCGAGCTCTGATACGTGCCACGTCTATCGTAATCAGTTATTCACCGTGTAGCAATACGACATGCATGAACGGTGGGTTTTGTTCGGAAGCTATAAATGTTTACGAAGACACGAGGAGAACAGACAGCCAGACACTGATATTCACATCGCCGCTCGTTAATCACGAATTTACTTGTAAATGCCCGGAGGGATTCACCGGTCAAAAATGCGAAAGGCGACAGGACCCGTGTTCTCCGAACCCGTGCTTGGCCGGAGGCACTTGCAGAAGGCAAGGTTTCGACTTTCAATGTCTATGCCCTCCGATGCGCGAGGGGAGAGTTTGCGAATCCGAAAGGGGAGATATGTGCAGTGGGAATCCTTGCAAAAACGGTGGATCTTGTCAAGAGAGCCCGGACGGTTCTTCGTTTTTCTGTCTGTGCAGGCCAGGCTATCGTGGAAACCAGTGTGAAGCGGCTACAGACTCTTGCCGTCCTAATCCTTGCCTTCACGGAGGTCTGTGCATCAGCCTCAAACCTGGCTACAGATGCAGCTGTCCTGAATCAAGGCACGGTCGGCACTGCGAAAAATCTACTTTTGGATTTAACGAGTTGTCTTACATGGCCTTTTCACCGCTCGACGGAGGGACCAACGACCTCTCTATCACATTCGCGACTACAAAACCCGATTCGTTGCTTATTTACAATTTTGGACCACAAACGGGAGGAAGATCAGATTTTGTCGCTCTGGAGCTGATCAATGGAAAAGCCGTGTTTTCTTATGGCGGGACGAGAACAGCTATAACATCGGTTAGCGTGACCGGAAGCGACGCATCGCTCGCAGATGGAGAATGGCATAAAATAACAGCTACGAGAAACGGTAGGCTAGTCTCGCTCAGCATCTCATCGTGCACAGACAACGGTGATTCGTGTACGGACTGTCGACCGGAGGACACCGCATGCTATGCCAACTTAGTCGGTCCTGCTGGGTATGTATTCCTTATCTACATTACTATGTTTAACTGTTTTATTAATTAATTTTACTTTCAGAACGCTCAATTTTAACAACTTCCCGATGTACATCGGAGGATTGAGCTCAGCTGATCCTATACTGGAAAGGCCTGGGCAAGTACACTCCGATGATTTCATCGGTTGCGTGCACAGCGTTTCTATCAACGGAAGAGCTCTGAATCTGACCAATCCTATGAAATCAAAAGGGATATCGTCGATGTGCCCTCGCTCCGGCAGGTCGATGTGTACCGGTGTTTCCTCTAATTCCATCCCTGACAGCACCGAGCAAGCGTCCTTCTTCAGACCGTCTTGCGGCAGCGAAGGGAAATGTTTCGACAAGTGGCATTCCGTATCATGTTCCTGCGATCAAAACGGTTTAATTTCGCCGGACTGTAGCGAATCCTTGGAGCCAGTTTCCCTTTCTAGCGGAGGCTATGTGGAATACAAAATTTCAGAGACGCACAGGCGTATGCAACTTTTGGACACGCTCTACGGTGGTTCGACACTATGGCACTCAAGGAATATAGACAGAACTAGAAGAAATTCCGTTAAAACTACCATTTCGCCGCAACAACCTCCAAAACACTTGAGCATCATGTTCAGAACATACAAAGCAGATGGGACTATCATATTTTCCGCCACAAACAGCGATTTCACCATAATTCAGGTTTGTTTTTATGGTTTTAAGTTTTATTTTTGCGATGATAACTGTTTTCCTTTAGCTTTTGAATGGCCAGTTGGTTTACACTTCACAACTCGGATCTACGGCTTATCCGGTCAATATGACAGTCGGTGAATTGATGCTCACCGACGGACAGTGGCACAATATCACTCTAGAATCGCAATACCAAGGGCTGAGATTGATAGTCGATGGGCATAAAGTCGGAGACGAACTCGATGCCGCCAGTGTACATGATTTTCTCGATCCGTACCTTACAGAATTTTCGGTCGGCGGAGCAAGAAAAGACGCCATCCAGGGCCACGAATTTTACCCTCACAGTAAGTAAAAACAAACTTTTCTACATAAGCTTCTATCGTGGAAAGGCTTTTATTTTTTTTATTTCAAATCGTTGAAAGACGGCTTAAGTGAAAGTTTAGATGTAACAAATAGTGGGTGGATTGTTTATTTCTAGACCCAGAAGTTGATTGAATTTCTTAACTTTCCTTTTTTTCGTGAACATATCAAAAAGTTGAGAAGTACTTGAATTGGATAATTGATCAAATAGCTGTAATTTAGAGGATTTTGACCATCACCGTAGATTTGTTAGGACATATGGCGTGTGGCATAGTTTCTTCCCATAATCCGATAGACCTTGAAATGAACTAGAAATCTAGAAATCGCTTTCGCACATGGTACAACCTAGTTTATTTATTTATTTTATTTTTTCCTAAATGATATAAGCAACGTTTCTCTCAGTAGACTATTTGTAATGTCAAAAATTCAATGTTTTCCATGTTTCTTAAGATAACTGGGAATTTTCATCGGGTTTTTCACTTTCACGATACTCACGCTTTCTAGGAACTGAAATTTTCTTTGATTTTTGAAATTGAGACCAAAATCTTTCCAACTGCTTGACCGAAAAGAAAAAAAAGAATACGTAATTTTTCAAAAAATAAATCTATTCAGGTTGATGTCATTACACTGACTTTAAGAAAAAAAACTCGAGATAAGCGAATTTGTTAACAGTTCCTTGGATAGATCTAGTAGATTAACAGAATTCCACACTTTCTCGCTAATAAATACATTCAGTTGGGTGTATCAGTGGGCCGTGAAGCTTTTGTGTGTCAGGAGTTGACCCTCCAGTCTGTAACGAAAGAAAGGAATCTTGCTCAACGGTTATGAGGATATGCCATACACGAGTGACACACGGGCAACTCTCGCGCGGGTGTTCCGCCAGTAGTGAACGGTCGCTCAGCATGTTACACAGTCGAGGAGTCCAAGGCAACCCTCTTACATTACATATTCACGCTAATTCTCCCAACAAGCACTAATTTACGCAATAATATCAAAACTAAAACAACCCTGTTTCTTCAAAGAATCGGAACCCAGATACTTTCAATACAATTCTCATATCCGGTGGCATTAATATACGCTCTCTCCATGGAGCCAAGGTGCACAAGGTGGTGGGTTACTCGATATTTCTCCATAACCCTGTACCCAGTACAAACTAACCTATTTGAGAGTTAATGGGTACTCAATATTCCGCTATCGACTCTCTCACACCACAGATTCATGTTAATAAATGCATTATATACAATAAAACAACCCTTTTCCTCCATTAATTGGAACAGTGAAACCAGAAACCCGCTGCCTTGCTCAAGAACAATTCTCATATCGGATCGCATTCTTGCACGCTCTCTATATGGAGCCAAGGAATCTCCCCTTTAATAACTGTTCGTGTGTCAACTTCGCATGGTCTTTCCATAATCCTGTTCTAAGAGTCAGATCTTCCGAGGGCCAACTATTTATAGTGCTCTTAATATTAGATTTTATTTGTATGTTTGTTTTATAGGTTTCATAGGTTGTCTAGCCAATTTCACCATAAATGATGAAATCCAACCTCTTAACGGTTCCGGAAGTATATTCTCAGAAGTGATAATCCACGGAAAGGTGGAAGCAGGATGCTCCGGACCACTCGGGATTGGCGCAGCAGTCACCACTGACCCTCTGTCAATCGGGATTTCTCTAATTTTGGTATTTTTCGTCATTTTATTCATCGCCATTTTGGCGTCGTTCGTCGTCTTCCGACTGAGGCGACAGGCCAAAGAGAAATCCGGCGTTATGAAATCCAACGGAGGCGGATCTCTGAGAGGTACAGGAGGAGGCGTCGGAGGTCTACCGTGTGACCGTTCCGGTTCCATGCAAGAAGGTGCAGTCACCAGTTTCATAACAGAAAACGGCGACGTGATCCGCGGCGTCGGCCACCATCTCGTCGGTCCAGAATTAATATCCAAAAAGTAATTATACATGCATTATTTAATGCCGGAACCGCGCTAAACGCGAAATGTTTCAGATACAAAGATCAAGACGCCATTTCTGATCATCAGCAGAGGACACAAAGACCAGATATAATAGAAAGAGAGGTCGTAAGCAAATCACCACCCCCTAGAGACGATCACCATCCACCCTTGCCTCTTTCTCACCATTCCCATGATGCCGTAATGGACTCTGACATGCCGGAGCATTACGACTTAGAAAATTCTAGTTCAATAGCTCCTTCAGACATAGACATTGTATATCACTACAAAGGTATTTTCCTTGCTTACCCCTCAATTTCACATGGTTTATTAAATATTCAAGATTTTTGTTTTGTTTCAGGCTATCGAGAAGGGAGTAGAAATCTTAGAAAGTACAAATCCACTCCTCCACATCTACCTCCGGGAGCGCCTGTTTTCCACAAGCATACAGTATCGACGCCGCCGCATCACAGGCACTCGCCCCATTTCCCTTCTAGGTCGGTCCTGCCTCCACCGCCTGTATCGAGGGTGGACTCGCCTTCTAAAATACAACTTCAACACCAAAGTACGCCCTTGGCGAGGCTGAGCCCTAGCTCCGAACTCTCCCAACAAATGCCGAGGATACTGACTCTTCAGGTGTGTTTTATTAATTTTTCCTAGGTGATATATCGTTGAAGAAGAGAAAATATAATAGCCATTTGATCATCTGACCAGACACATAATACTGTTTATTGTTGTAGGATATAAGTGGGAAACCCTTGCAGTCTGCATTGCTAGCTGCGACATCCTCCTCAGGAGGTGTGGGGAAGGATGTGCTTCACAGCAATTCGGAGCGTAGCCTCAACAGCCCCGTGATGTCCCAACTTAGCGGGCAGAGTTCGGCGAGCAGGAAGACCCCGGGGGTGGCCGGCGGAGGGCCGGGCTCAGGAGTCGGAGGTACAGGCGGAAGCGGAGGTGAAGTCGGCCTCACCGCGGAGGAGATCAACAGGCTGAGCTCGAGAGGTAGGACGTCCAGCTTAGTAAGCACACTGGACGCCGTGTCCAGTTCGAGCGGAGCGCCGCCAAACGGACCACCGCTTCATCTGCACAGGTCCAGCGACCAGCACGACGGCGATGGATCAACCACGACGACCACCACCGACGAAAGTGGAAACGATTCGTTCACCTGTTCGGAAATCGAATACGACAACGCTAGCGTATCGAACGAAAAGACTAGAAAACCCGGGTACGACATCGACTCTTCGTTTCGTGGGTCTTTGAGCACGTTGGTCGCATCCGACGACGATTCCCATCCGCCGTACCGCCCTCGAAACGGCTCCCCGGGCGTCATCGGCTTAGACTACCTTCTAAACTGGGGGCCAAATTTCGAAAGCATCGTAGGCGTTTTTAAGGATATCGCAGAACTGCCTGAAACCAACGGACGGGTGTCGTCATCCCTTAGGCTGCCAAACGGTTCTGCGAAACCTTCTGAAGAATACGTTTAAATTAACCTCGGATCAGGCGTTTTTGATCCTTTCAGGGACTGTAAATATTATAAATATATTTTAAAGTACAATACCTCTGTGACTGATTTTCTCTCATGATTGTGCTCAATCGTCTGTGTATTTGCCATATTAAATGAAATGTACATATTGATTTGTGTATACTAGGTTTCTCCAGTGTAAATATAACTTGTTAATTTTGTAGAATGGATGATCGTTGAATGAACGAGTTTGTTAAACACAAAGTAGTATTGTTAATAGGAGACATAGCCATATACGGTAGTGCCAAATATCGTTGTTCGATTTACGTTTGTATGTATGTTGAGGATTTGACAACATTTTGTGAATAAATTTTATAATAAAATTACTTAAGTCTTTTCTTTCCCTGATATGTTGGTTCATATGAACAAAGAAATATTAAGAAGATCCCAGGAAAGGAAGGTAAAATAATTTGAAATTCTGGTTATAATATAAAAATACTTTCAAAAATCTTTCATAACATAAAGTATCCACAAAGTCCTTAATTTATAACAAATTAAGAACCAACTTTCAAAATAAAAGAGTTAAGATTTGTAATTGATAAAAGACTTGATAAACATGATATGCTTTAGATAAACCTTTTCAGGTTATAGGTATCCTTATTTTTTACTTTAAAGGTAGGCAACTATGCTAAGGTAAATGCAAGTTGGTGAAATTGTGACAACCTTAGGTTAGCGGGTCCCCGCCTTAGAATAGGTTAAAATAAGAACAATAAAAAATTAGTTTAAACTACCACACAAAAAAGGCTATAACTCGGACAGGAACAACGTGACGTCCCCTACCGATCTGGAAAACATAATTCAGTAATAATTAAGCAGTTGGTCGAAGGTGACATAGCCTAGACGGGAGGGACGTGACGTTCCGCACAAACAAGAGATACCTAATCCTGCAATGATTGCACAGTTGGTCAAATAAATAACGTTGAAGTGTGTTGACAGGGTTGTTTCCCACGAATCTGGAAAACATATAGCCTAATACATAATAGTTGGATAACGATCAAATATCTTTTTTAAATTGGATACATCATCTTATACTATACAAATTACATGATTAATGAATCACACAGCACAACACTAGCACTAATACCAGCACATGATTTGAGAAACCAGCCATTGCTGGCACTCTATGTGTATGACTAGGTGTCAAGGAGGTGCCGAGGACACCGTCGGTAGAGACGACGTGGTGGGTTGTCAGGATGGGAATGGGTGGAGAGGGCTCAAGCAGTATGGTTAGGATGGTTCGAAAGTTTGGTGTGGAAGGTTTGTAATCTGGACCGGAACAGTTCGTTGATAAAAGGAATGTTGAAGTCTTTGTGGATAGTGAGGTTAGTGACATAATAAGAAGCTTTGACAATTTGTCTAAGGTCTTTCGATTGGAAGGACAGGATTCGCTGGATATTGGTAGGCTTGAAAGTACTCCACAGTTCCACTCCATATGGCCATATTGGTCTTAGTAAAGTCTTGTACAGTGTTGCCATCCCTAACCACCCCAAAATGACTACGGTTTTCCGATATATTGATATATAGATTAAAGATTGCCATCTCTACTCTAAGAAGCTCTCCTCACAGAAAAATAAATTTCTCTCTCTAGTTCCTTCCCCACACACTCTCAATATGACACACAACCCGTGACACATCTGCACAGAAAACACACACTTTGAGCAAGTACAAATATTTCGAATAAACCTAAAATTTCTACAATGCGAACATCATTGTACAATTTCACATCTTAAATTTATTTGTACAATCTAAAAAATGGTTGTAAATCTCAGGCCCTGAAGATTATCTCAATAAAGATCGAAACGTTGACACGATAAAAATTACGATTAATTACGATAAAAATCGTATACGATATAAAAATAATAAAAATTACGATAAAAATCGGTCACAAAATACTACATATTTCTACGTAATAAACATTTTCTTTTTAAATGTCTTATTTTTATAACCGAGCCTATTTTTTATATGCTAAATATGAATAAACCTAAAATATGTTAAAATTTAAGGGTGGTACGTTTATTTTGTTCATCGGTGAATATTTAACCATAACTACGTCATTTTTGAAGATTTATTTCTATTGAGGCGACATGTTTGGAAAAAGGGCAGGTTCTATAGTGAAAGTGGGGAGTCGGCAACACTTCAAAACATTCCGGTTATGCTTTGTTGAAATCGGCAGACGCTTTTCAAAGACCTGGTCGTTGTGAAATAACAATTATTTAAAAACGGACAAATTTCCAGTTTTCCTATCAAATTTATTTTATTAGTGGGTATAAAAATAAATGATTTACAGTGTTTCATCACGCCTAATGAAAATGGGAGGTATGTAGACATTCACTTAACTTGTTTATATTTCCCTGCAAATCATTGTTTTTTAAAATATTTTTTAGCACCTTTGCACTATAAAAAGAATAATTTGAATGTTTATGGTTGTATTTTGAATATATGTACTAATAAAATGATCTTTACGATAATAGCTTAAAAATAAACTTTATTCACTGGCTGGACTGCAACTTGGGCGACCTTACTCTGGACAGCCAAAACACTAAAGTAAACTGCTCAAAATTGAATTGGAATATTTTTAATTTATTCTTATTCTATTAATTTTAATTAAATTCACCAATATATTGTTAGTCGGATAAAAGAAAATAGAAATTTTTAATAATGGATTTACTTAAGGACATGATTCGTCCTTTTTAACCATAGAAAGATTAGTACAAACTGGTTCCCCTCCTACAATTGATAATTAACGTTAAGAACCAAATTGACTTAATGTATTGTAGTTAAGAAAATAAATAGTGAAGAAAATACAAGTAAAGAGAAAAACCACTAAGGTAAAAATTTTCAAATTTGCAAATCAAATTCTCTTAACCTCCTCGTCGAGTCTCCTTGATAGGGGAAAGGACTCTAGGAGAGAGTTAAGGCTTGGTCAAACAGGAGACGGAATGACTGCAATCCACTGTGGAATAGGGTAACCAGACAGAATGCGGACAAGTCGAGGCAAACCAGTATAAAAACAGTCTGTCAAGAGTTTATTGTGTGATTTCTTAAATTAAGTCCAATCCGCTGATCTTGTATAATACATAAACAGTTATTGGTAATAAACAAATAGTAATTGTTGTGCTTCTTTTTTCTGTTTATATAAGAAACTTGTTTTATATTAGGCCTTATTATTTGAAAGCTTATTTATTAATATTGGAAAAACTTTTTTCTTTAATTAATCCTTCTATGTTTAGCAGTCATAATTAACCTATTTATTTATTTAAATTAGTAATAGGGTTCGAATCCCACTCATGACACTAACTTTTTCATCTCAATCAAGTCTAGATTATAAAAATAATCAATTGAAATTTTTCTTTAATTTTTTTTCAACTTTTTCTTTAAATAAACAGTTCTCTACTTGAATTCATTGTTTTTCATTTAAATTTTTTCATTTAATTGAAATAAATTTTAAAAAAAAAGTGAGCAATGTTAATACAGAGACATACATGTACAGAGACAAAAACTGGACACTCGTATTTTGTTGTTTATTTCAAACTATATGTATTTTTATGGTTTTATTAATTACAACAATTATATGTTAGTGTATATGTGTATCTATACCGGATGTGTTGGTTGATTATTGTTGTATACATATATGTATACATAATTATTGAATCATATTTTCTTTTTTTTTTTTTTTTCAAATCCCAAATATATTATATTATTTTTGTATTTGGTAAATTGTACTGTTTGTTATTATTTTTATTATTGTCAATTTTTATTATGTCAATATTTCAATTATTTTTTGTGTTTTAAATGTCCTTTCTCTTTCTTGAAATCATTCTAAAATAAAAATGAAATAGTTTATTGCTCATAAATAAATAAACATACTTATTTTAATATAAACCGAATTAAACGAAAATAAAAAGTTCATGAGTTTTAATTTAAAAAATTAATTAGGATGGTTTCAGAGAAAATTCAACAAAACACCCGAAAATCATTTAGTGATCAAATAAATTGTATTGTTTATTTTTCCAGTGTTTTATTGAATTTTCTTAAAAACAATCATAATTTTAGTGGTCAGGATGATGAGCATCCTGCATGTATATAAACACTCGCACAAGATCTATTAATTTTTCTGCCTCTCTTCCGGTTCGCGCGAACCTTGTAGAAAATCACAAGTGCTCCTCTTTCTACAGAGACGGTGATGGACAGTGTCTCATGTTTGACCAAGCCTTTAGTCATTTTTTCCCCATTCGCCCTTTTTTTTAGTGCACAGTTAGAGTTTTATTGCAGTCTGATAAACGGTGGGTGGTGGATGGGTTTAAAAAAGAATTTCATTACAAAATAGACAAAATGTTATTAAATTTATGCTTGTTAAGCTCTAATCTTAATTTAAACTATTTGAAAATGTATTTTTCTCAATATTAATTTTACAAATTGTTACAGACTTAGATGAAACAGGTCGTGAAGAAATTCTGCTAAAGCTCCAGTCACAGAAAGAAAATTTAGAAGTGAAAATAAAAGAGAAGTGCAATGAGCTAAAAAAACTCTGCATAGCTGAAGCAGAACTGACAGGTGTCATCCCGATGGAGATCCCGCTCGATCCCGATGAGAGCCCTCCCAAGATAAGACGAAGAGTAGGCACTATGTACCCGTATAACGCGGAAATGCTAAGTCTTCTCACCAACCATGTAAGTTTTTGGATTTAATCGGTTTTAATTTATTCTAAATATTAATGATATTATAGGAAAGGGGGGAAGAGAGAAATCCAAAAAGGAAAATCCCGCTTGGCTCTTGGAACAAAAACAGCACAGACGGGCATGTCAACAGTCCGCCTCATTATACATGGTCACCGCAGAATGTCTCGCCTAAGAAAAAAAAGCCTACCACGCGTTCTTTTACCTATGTCCATAAGTTGAAAATAATTAAAAAATGGTAACAAATTTATTTTTAATCGTTTTAATTTAACTTGTAAGTGCACTTTCTTGTTACTAGTCTCGGAACCAAAGCAACAAAATATATTTATGTAAATTCATAGAAAACAAAAATGTCTAATTGTCTAAACGACTGAAAACTTTCTTGCCAATATGCAGATTTTATTATTTTTTATAAGGCAATTTTACTCTCGTACTGTCAAATATGCACCAGTAATTAGTTTAATTTTAACAAAAGTTATACTTAAGTTTTAGTAAATAATTTATTTTTTCTGTCACTTGTTTTTGACTAAAACATACTGAAGATCCATTGATTACTGGGTTCATGTGTAAGTGAAAAAATTAATTTGTAAAATAATACATGTTGTTTGATACTTAAGGTTTTTTAGTTTGTAAGGTCTCAAATTTGTACAAAATAAATTATATTAAAATTTTAAAATTTCAGTTGATTATATCAAATTCTTCCTTTCTTACTCTTACATAAGTGCAGATGCAGAAATATGACTGCATAGAAGGTTGTGATTCAATTAAATTATAAACTTCAATTATTATGAATTATTGAAAAAACTTCAAACTTTACAACTTCAATTATTATAAATATTCAATTAAATTATAAACTATCCATGAGTTATAAGCACAGTTTATAAGGCCATTAATCAAAACTGACAGCACACCACCCAGTAGAAAAAACGATTACTAAAAACCTGAAGGGTGTAGAAATATAAGAAAATTGGCTCAATAAATAACAAAAAAAGACTAAATTATTAAGGGAAAATTGTGGTACATTGCATACATGAATCATCGGGTTGTGACACCATAAAATTGGGTCGATAAAATAGCCTAGTTGGTGGGTTCTGTGAGGTAGTCTATTTCCTACAAACTCACTCTCGCTAATAAATACATTCATACTAACTAGAAATTTTCATACTATATATACAATTAAAAATTAGAGATGCACTGGGGTTTTATGCTGGTTACTTGCCCATAGCCAACATAAAAAAATACATATAACTAACCCAGGTTGGTGAGGACATATATTGCACCACAAACCCACCTGTGTACATAAACATTCCATCTAATAAATACAATCATAACATGTACAGACCCAATCAGAGGGTATTTGATAGTATGTCAGGTCTTCTGCCCTTTCACTCTAAACATAATTATTCTTTTTAAGAAACTAATTAGTCGATACTCACCTTCTCAAGCTATCATGCATCATAAATACATTCATTTTCAATAAAATTACTAACCTAGTTTGGTGGGTCTTTGGGTCCTCTATTCTCCCAAAACTTACTCATTCACCCACTGACATACATTTAAATACATACATATAAATACATTCTAGATGGTAAAAGCAATATGAGGAAAGCCATGAAATGCAACCATATGCATTTATACATTTCAGGTATCGAATCAAATTTCTGCCATCATCACTGATTGTCTCAGAATGTCTGAAATTCACAAAAACCACGTCTTGTCCTATGCAGTGCCATTTTTTTTTTCACTGTCAATAAGCGTTTTACAGTTACTTAAGTGCCACAACACAAAAGATATCTCGAAGGCCTTTTGGAGATGCCTATAGCACACGGTTTGACCAATGGTTTTATTTTACATTTATTTATCATAACAACATGAAAATTTGTTAAACACAAATTAGAAACCGATGAAAAAATTTAGTTAAAAAAAATTGAATATCGCATAACCTTAAAAAAACTAAATGCTTTCATTTTGACCATTTCTTAGAATCATATCAATTTGTAATGACATTCGTTTTAAGGTTGATATGGTAAATTGATATGAGTCTAAGAAATGAGAAAATATAACCCACCACTGAATATGGTGAAATTCAAAACTGTCTGACCCACCGAACCATCGAGGAAAGTTAGAACAGGATTATCGGTGATGACAAAAATACTTGTAATAGTCTAGATCAGTGTTTCCCAACTTGGGGCCGATTTGAGGTTTTTTTAAAAAAAAAAAAAGATAGTTCCTACTCACAATAAGTTGTTTTTGAACGGCGATCCGGATTTCGAGCCCTTAGCTCATCATCAGGTTGAAGGATTTCTACAACCACGTCTCTCGACATGAATGCAAAAGTGAACCCGCCGATACCTCCCCCCGCCAACGACGTTCCAATGAGAAAGTGGTTTTTTAATGGCGCTCAATTTGAACGTGCGAAAAGCGGGAATTATAAAACAAGTAAATATTATAATGGTAAATACTGTAAGAAATTCATTATAAATTAGTGATTAAAGATAAAAAATTAGAATAATATCTTAATATTATTAAATTATAAAAATAATTAATTTAATTATTTGGAAGTTTGACACATTGGGCAGTTGACTAAAAATTAAAACGAGTTCTAAAAATTGCCCTCCTTAAACTCAAATCTGCCCCAAGTTAGGAAACACTGATCTAGACTAGTACAAGTATTTTTGTCATCACCGATCATCCTGTTCTTCCTTTCCTTGATGGTTTGGTGAGTCAGACTGAGTTTTGGATTACACCATATTCAGTGGTGGGTTGATGTGGGTTATATTTTCTCATTTCTTAGACTCATATCAATTTATCATATCAACCTTAATTAATGTCATTACAAATTGATATTAGTCTAAGAAATGGTCAAAATGAAAGCATTTAGTTTTTTTAAGGTCTATGCGATATTCAAGTTTTTTTTAAACTAAATTTTTTTCATAGGTTTCTATTTTGAACAATCTTTAAAAAAAAAATTTACTCCAAATGTACGAAGCAATAAATTCAAAATAAGATGTGGTGTTTCGATTTTTATATATAAACAATACTGTGCAATTTATAATCCGTATACTTTTTGTATTATTGCATGTATAATTTTAATGTTAAATGAAATTTATGAGACAAACCTATTTAATCACATAAAATTTGATAAACGAGATCAATGCGAGAGATGATTTTCCTACTGAGCAAAACAGCAATATTTTACATGAAATAATATTAATTATTAATATAATTATTAATTAATTATAAATATAACTGATCTGTAAGGTGAAGGGAAATGAATAGTTTGAAATAAATTCCGAGCATTGTATTACTTTCTAAGATTATAATTTAAATAAGGACAACATTTTATCTGATTTTTTTTTTTTAATTTGGAAACTTCAACCAAATCTATGGGAGTTTTTTTCTCTTTTCGAGAAAATCAAATTTCATTGAAATTGATTTTTTTTTTTTTTATTAAGCTTTTCCTGGATATTAAGTAATTTCTGGAAAATATTTTTCGACGATGAACCTGTTAAAGTGCAAAATGTCAACTATTTTGCGATGAAGTATAATTTGGATCTGCCAGAAGTTCTTTTTAAAAGTACTTTGAACTTCAATATCAAGTGTTGTGTTCCAATAAACTCTGTAGCGTCCACCAGTGCTATTTATAATTTTTTTTAATAAATTAAAAAAAAAATTAAAAAAGAAAAAAGTTTCTTACTGATCCATTTTTATCACATTTGATCGCAGTCTCTTGATATTGGTGCGTTAAAGGAATGTAACTTATTTTAAAAATTGAAGAATATTACAATGTACATTATGAATATTACAATATTACACAAATGAAATAGTTAATAAATTATTTCAACACTCATATCCGTTCCAATGTCCTAGATGGAGAACGTGGTTTTCGGCGCTTAAAAAAATTTGCTTACTAAGTTTTATCTTTTTCTTTATAATGATTTTCCCAGTATTTTTAACTTTATTCAGTGAGCATTTTAATATTACAGATAATGTATATTGGGGTTGAATGGTGGGGCAGAAGGGATTTGAAAATGTCTAAGTTGCACAAAAAAGATGGGGAACATTGCTTTAGATAGAAGCGTAGATGACTTCTATGAAATATATTATTTATCTTGGGAACCTGTATTATTTTAATTTGGAAAACAAAATGGACAATACAAAGATACAATTGTAAAAAAGAAAATTATAATACATATTAAATAATAATTAATAGGAAAAAGTTTCACTTTGGTACCAAACGAATTTCTAACAATTCTGACTTTTGCAATTCAACAATAGTATCCACTTCTGGGTTTTCATGGGTGGATTCTTCTAAATAAAATTTTCCCTGTGGAGGGGCCAATTCTTCAGCTCCCTCTGTAACATCAATTGTACAATTAATAATGAATTTTCTATAAAATTCAACAATACCTTGTATATCTATTGTAAGCGTATCCTTAGAAATTTCGATAATCTGCCCTAGTATGTGGTTTGATTCAATAGGGCAGTAATTCTCGTCGAGTTTCAATTTCTAGAAATAATATAAAGCATTAACTGATATAATTGACATTAAAAATGTTTATTTACCTTAAAAATTATTAAATCATATGGATTAAAGTTGTCAACAATGGGACAATTTACGATATCAATATTTTTTAATTTATTATTTCCATTCGGCTGTCCATTTGTTATTTTTTCTGTCTCTTTTTCATTTGTAATTTCAGTCATATCGCCATTGCTATCTCCATTGGACAACGTATTCTGTTCTTTTGACCTAAAAAATTTATTTTTCCCATTTTTTGCAAGATTTAGAAGATTTTGTTTCCAATCTTCTATGCAGTTTTTTTCTACTGGGTCTGGACTGGCTTTACTGTCCAATTGAGTGACGTTTGTTGTTATTTCGGGTTTTTCTGTCTCGTCTTTGAAATAAATTATTAAAATTGAGAATAAAAATAATGTAAAATCTATTTTTTTTAAACTTACCGATCCCATTGGTATGTGATTCCTCTTCAAATCGTATGTGCATTCCATTTCCTTTAGGCGATATTGGTCTAACAGGGACAACTGGCTGAGGAGAAATATTCATTTCTGGATTAAGTTTGTCTTTATCGTCTTTAACTTTCCTCCTTCTACACCGTCTCCGTTTCTTTCTCTCGGGTTCAAAAAGAGCCAAATCCTCTTTCTGCTCTTCGCTTTTGCCTTCGCTGCAATTTTTTAATTCTTGATACTTCGATTTCAATTCTCCAAGGACCTGTTCTAACGATTCATCAACTGAGACTTCAAGATCCATTTTGTCGAGTTTTTCCTGTTGGGTTTCCTCGACAGTTTTATTTTCTTTGACAGACCCTAACTCTCTCGCTTTATAACAACTTTCACACTCCAGTAAAGGGTGGGGTGGATACACCCTGAAACAAAATTATGACTCAGTTGTACAACATTAAAGGTTTTTTTTTAAACCATTGCTCACGTATAGAAATCATTTATTATTCTTCCAGTTTATCCTTTGTACAAACTTTAAACCAGTACTAGGAGTAGCCTAATGAAATATTAGCTTATTAGTGACCAACTAAATCCACTAATTAATCCATTATTTAACCTAAATACTACTAATATTGTTTTATGTCCGCACGATAATGATACATTTATTCAACTATACTCTGCAAAGATGATCAAATAGCAGAAAGTAGTCTAAATAAACTTTACCTTACTAACTTTTTAAATGTTTTAAACATTAACGTAGAGGCATATATTTTCAAGTTGTCTATGAGTGCATACGTTTATTATTAAGGCAGTATAAAGAAAGAGGGTCCATGGCAAAAGGAGTCCATACTTCAACTCGTTATTAGAGGCCTGTATTAAACTCAAATATAGACTTAGTCCAAACTCCTATACGACCAATATGTTCCAAAGGAACCACAATGGTCGAGTGGTTAGGATGAATTGTATTTGCCACACTAACAGTTCTGGGTTGATATCCTATGACAACCCTACGAATTTTAATTGTTTTTATGAAAAAAATATTTCAGAGTGGCTTGATCTCTTGCCGACAACATCCAGTGGTTTATAGAGGCTAAGCCCTCCTGTAAGTTAGAAAGTCAATATGGTCTAGGGGAACCACAATGGTCGAATGGCTATGGCGACTTGTATGTGCCTCACTAGCGATACTGGGTTCATATCTTGTCACAACCCAATGAATTTTAATTGTTTTTATGAAAAAAAAATATTGTAAAGTGGTCTGATCCTCTTGCTGACAACATCGAGTGGTTTATAGAAGCTAAGCCCTCCTGTAAAATAGAAAACCAATATGGTCTAAGGGAACCACAGTGCTGCATTCATATCCTATCACAACCCAATGAATTTTAATAGATTTTATTTAAAAAATATTGTAAAGTGGTTTGATCTCTTGTCCACAACATATAGTGGTTTATAGAAACTAAGCTCTCCTGTAAGATAGAAAGTCAATATGGTCCAAAGGAACCACAATGGTTGAGTGGTTAGGGTGATTTGTATTTTCCCACACTAGCGGTTCTTGCTTCATATCTTGTCACAACCCAATGAATTTTAATTGTTTTTATGAAAAAAAAAAAAATATTTTAAAGTTGTCTGATCCTCTTGCCGACAACATCGAGTGGTTTATAGAAGCTAAGCCCTCCTGTAAAATAGAAAACCAATATGGTCTAAGGGAACCACAGTGGCCGAGTGATTAGGGCAACTTTTATTTGCCACACTAACAGTTCTGGCTTCATATCTTGTCACAACCCAATGAATTTTAATTGTTTTTATGAAAAAAAGATTGTAAAGTGGTCTGATCCTCTTGCCGACAACATCGAGTGGTTTATAGGGGCAAAATTCTCCTCTAAGATAGAAAGTCAATATGGTCTAAGGGAACCACAGTGGTCAGGGCAACTTTTATTTACCACACTTGCGGATCTGACTTCATATACTGTCACAGCCCAATGAATTTTAATTGTTTTTATGAAAAAAATATTGTAATGCGGTTTGATCTCTTGCCACTCTAGCAGTGGTTTACAGAGTTTATGCTCTCCTGGACAAGAAGTCAATACGGTCCTGAATTGACAAGAGTCGCAACCAAGTAGATGGAACCCTGCAAAACAGCTGGTCCTGAGGAAAGGTCCTGCCCTGCGATGAGACCTAAGATGGTGGCCATTACTCGATCTTCGTCATCTGCATATTGTGGTTCGACCTTCTCTCCAAAATTGTAACTTGCCGTAATGGAGGATATGCACGTCTGAGAGACAATTTCAGCGACAACATGCTATCAGGACTATACTTGCAGACTTCGACAATAAAATCTGCAGAACTGTTCCCAAGTTTATTTAATCATCTAACATTGACACATTGATGGGGTACGGGCCTACCCAGGCTTTTAACCCCTCGGGTCCTGGTCGCCCGCCCTGTGTAATATATAACATTGACACAATATGATGTTTTGAGAAGTAATCGAGGTTTAAAAAAAATCTTTAATAAATTCATACGTACGTCAAGACATCCCCCGGCATTATTATCTGAACGGTTTCTCCACGTGGGAGGTAAACATCGTTGATGTACAGCCTCATTCTGTTCTTTAGCTTGAACAAAGTTGCTATGTGCTTTTCCACGTGTTTCACTTTGGTTAACGCCTCCAAATCGAGGTAAATGTAAAATTTCGTCTCGTCCCTTTTATCGCCGGTTTTGAATTTAACTACAACCCTAAAATTCTCGGTACGGTTCATATTTACCGTTTTTAAATAAAATAAAAAGATAAACTCTTCTAAATGACGAGAAAACCTACTGTATGGTTATAATCATAAACAATATTTATAATCAAATCATTACGTCTTTTTTTAAAATATTTATCTGGCTTTTAACAAATATAAAACAGTTAAATTTGAATTTAAGAACATGTTAACATAAAGAACAATGTAAAAAATTAATCTGTGCATTAATTATTCAACGACTTTATTATCTTTTATCTCAAAGAAAACGGGAGGTTTCGAATTATAACCTCTCTGTTGTCTTACATCCTGTGTGGTCGTGGAAATTAGTTTTCTCCTTTTATTTTTTCTTTGAATATTTTCGACTCGATCCGGTCGAAAAATCCGAAAATGGAACACAAAGCAGAGCAGGAAAGCGAAATCGAGGCTCTCGATTCGATTTACTACGGTGAAATGGAAAGTAAGTTTAACCCATGCTGTTTTAAAGTGGGTAGAAAAGTTTGTAACGTGCAGATGTATAGTACAGCGTTTATATTTGTTGCTTAGTTTAATTAAGGAACAACATGTCTTTATGCTAAGGCTCAGTCGCATAGAAGAGCGATTAAGAATAGGCCATGGTTGGTTGAGACACTTTTGGGCCAGTGTGTCCAGCATGCAAAGAAAAGTTCCTTGATGTGTCCAACCTAATTAAAGGGAGCAACTCCTTGGCTCCATATAGAGAGCGTGTAGAAATGCCACCCGATATGAAAATTGTTCTTGAGTACAGCACCAAGTATTGCAGCCTTGTTGGAGGAAACAGTTGTATTGCATGTAGTGCTGAAATTGTTATGCACCCTAGTGTGTTGAGAGTGAATGTATTTATTAGCGTGCGAGGGTTGATAGGGGAATATTAAGTGTCCCATCAACCCTCAATTAGGTTAGTTAATGTAATAGGTGTAAAGAATTATGGAGGAATATTGAATACTCCACTTCCTTTAGTTCCTTGGCTCCATATAAAGAGCGTGTAGGAATGCCACCCGATATGCAAATTGTTCTTGAGTACAGCAGCAAGTATCTGGGTTCCTTGTTTGTAAACTTGGAGGAAACAGGGTTGTTTTATTGTGTATAGTGCTGAAATTGTTGTGCAACCTAGTGTGTGTTGAGAGTGAATGTATTTATTAGCTAATTATTCAGAAATCGTGAGATGCGGTCTGGTGTGATTTATTATGTATTTATTAGCATGAATAGTATGAGAGGGTTGATAATGGAATATTGAGTATCCCATCAACCCTCAATTAAATTAATTATATAATATGTGTACAGGTTATGGAGGAATAGTATTCCATGGCTTCGTACAGAGATCATATAGGAATGCTATCCGATATGAAAATTGTTCTCGAGTACAGCAGCGAGTATCTGGGTTCCTTGTTGTAGTTGGAGAAAACAGTTTTATTGTATGTAGTGCCGAAATTGTTATGCACCCTAGTATGTGTTGAGAGTGAATGTATTTATTAGCGTGAATAGTGTGAGAGGGTTGATGACGGAATATTGAGTATCCTGGCAACCCTCAATTAGGTTAGTTATGTGATAAGTGTACAGGGTTATGGAGGAATCGAGTACTTGGGTCCATATGAAGAGGATGTAGGCCTCCCCAAAGGCAGCAGTCATGAAAAACCAGTAAATAGAATGGAAAACGTGGAATGCATATATAAGGGGAGAAGAAACAATCCTATCTAGATTAAGAATAGGGCATACTAGGTTAATGCATTTAATGTCTAAAAAACCTGCCTCAATATGTTCAGTTTGTAATGTTAGGCTAACCATCATATATATTGTCACCACAAGCAAAAAATTTTCTCAAACTCAAGCTAAACATGATAATTTATCTGATGTACTAGTCCACAATAATTATTCCAGATAATTTCAAGGCACGCTAACCCAGTGGTTGACTGCCTTAAAAAAAGTGTAGGAATACAAATTGTGTATCGTATTGTATTGGATGCAAAAATTGTATTAGTATTTTATATACAACATCTTCTATTTTCCAGTTATTGCCACTGAGCCTTTTCATGTTTTTGTAATCTCAATCAAATCCGATGATTACGAAGAGGGAACAACTACGGGGATCATGTGCCGGCTCCGGTTTGAGTACACTGCTCAGTACCCAGAAGAGCTGCCTATCATAGACATCGAAGATTTTGACAACATCGAAGAGGACGAGACAGAAGAACTTCTAAACTTTGTTGTTCAACAGGTATTTTCAATTTTTTTTCCTTTATCAACTTTCTTTTTTAAAAAAATTATAATTTGACAGGCAAAAGACAATCTAGGCATGGCAATGGTTTTCACCCTTGTATCCTCGGTTCAAGAATGGATCAACTTGAAGTGCGAAATAAGGGCGGAGCAAAACAAATTAGAAAAAGAAAGGAAAAAGAAAGAAGAAGAAGAGGAAGAACAGGTATTTTAATTTTTTGAAAAATCAAAGGGGGCCATAACAGTTTAAGTATTGACATGGTGCTCATCCTGGGTTTGAATCCAGTTGCCCTGAATTTTTTTTCTAAAGTACTGGCATATTAAGGGTTAAATATGACCTCTGCTGTTGTGAACCCCCCCCCCCAAAAAAAAAAAAAAAAATTAACAAATGAAATAAATCGTCTAGCTTGATTTTTGTGTTTTAGAAAAAATTTGAAGGCACATTGGTCACCGTTGAGTCTTTTCTACAATGGAAACAGGCCTTCGAAATAGAAATGGGCATGTTCGACAAAAAGGAAAAAGATGATAAGAACAAAAAGCTCACCGGGAGAGAGCTTTTCATGCAAGACAAATCTCTCAATGAAAGTGATCTCAAATTCTTGGAAGAAGGTCAGTAATTTTTTTTTCTCCCCTCAACTCGACAATACTAGTTTTCTCTTTACAGGTGTGGAGTTCGTCAAAGTCGATGAATCGCTGTTTCAAGACTTGGAAGATCTTGAAATTGATGACACAGAATTGAATTCAGACGACGATTGATCAACAAATTTGAAATATTTGGAAATTAACTAATTTTGTACAATATTGTAAATAGTACTCGTCTTATTTACATTGTTGCTTTCTTTTTTTAAGAAAACTATCATATTTCTGTGATAAGAATGGTACAGGTAGTGAAAAATACGATAATTTTTTTGTAACTTTCTCCAGTTTATTAATGTTTTTTTACAAAAAATGCAACTCACTTAAATTTACAAAAGTAATATTTATTACAGATTTAAATAAAATAGTAATAAATATCCATAATGAAATCTAGTTTTAAAAGCAGTAAAAAAATGGATATTTTTACAATTAAAATTTGTTCTATATTCGATTATAAATTATATTATCTTTTAACACTTAATACCTATTATTTTTACACAATTAATTTAAGTGGTCTTGAGAACCGAAATGAATAAAAAAAAATATATTAAAGAAAATGTACATTTATTATACCAACTTATAAAAAAAAAAATTATCGACCATTAACTATGCTGATAATAAAACAACTATTATAAAATTTGGTAGGAGTTGAATTTCATTAAAAAAGGACTCCTATCAAATTTTATCAACATAGAATAAACTAAGCATACAACAAATATTTTATTTTTTGTAGAAAAAACAGAAAATTATTGCTTCTTTCCCAAAGTATCCAATGTGAAATGCACAATAGACACGATAAAAATATTTAAAATGAAAAACTATAACAATGTATTGTATAACGAAATTAGTAAAAAAAAAAATCCCAGTTATTTTATATCAGAATGTCAAAGGTTGATAAAATACGCTAACAAAAGTCGTACAAATCGTTCAATTCGGCCCCTGGAAAGACGTACCTTCTCTTTCGAAGACAATAAAACGAGTTTTCTGAAATAAAAACAAAATTGGTAAGACAAGCTTTTAAAAAGAAAATATTATCAATTTTTTTTCCATAAAAAATTTATGGAAAAAAATTATTTTTGAAAAATGTAATAATAATTTCAATTAACTATCTTTTTTATGTAAGATCTTGCTTCAGATGAAAAAGTTAGTGTCACAAGCGGGATTCGAACCTTCAGCCTTCCAGCTAATATGCCGCGGCGCTAACCACTTGAGCTAATGTGACTTTGATCCCGGGTTCGAATTCCGCTCGTGACACTAACTTTTTCGTCTCAACCAAGACCTTACATAAAAATAATAATTAATTAGAATAATTAATTTGGTCAATCAGACCACTAAACATAAATGGTTTTATAATAATAATAAAAAAAAAACAGAATAGTGTGAAGGTAGTTGGATAAGTGGGTCGAGAAGCAATAGGCATCACACAGCTTGCAAGATCTTGACACGGAGACCACTGGGTCTGAGGCTAGTGAGATTTGGAAAGAAAGTGAGCTGTCAGGAAGAGGTAATCTCTGCGATATGTTCACCAGGAAAAATAAGTTTGGTGGTTTTTGGTTAAGTCACAGACCTGCGCTAGGTCCGATTTTTTTTTTTTTTATTTTGCGCTGAATAAGATGGCTTTATTAAATGTTTTCCTAGCTTCAGACATTAATCAATAAATTAAAAATTCGGGAACATATTAAATTTTGCTCTTTTTTGAAAATTACAAATTGCGGGATGGTAAAAGTCTCTTCCCTGTTCACTTTTTTGAAAAAGTCCTCGGATCAAAAGCTGTAAAGAGTAAAATTTGTGAAAACATGATGGATCAAAATTTATGCATTCTTGAAAAGTGTAAGAGAGAGGATCGGTTTTTTCCATGAGCTCATAAAAAAAACCACGTTCGAAAATGGTTGAAAAATTGGACAAATTGGAAAGTGATAAATTGACAAATTATTAAAATTCCCTATTGATTGCTGAAGGGCGCTGCTCCAAAGATGATTTTCTGGCTGTTCCCGAATTTTTTAATTTACTGATGAGTAGACCATTTTTTATGCAGTTGCATATTTTGTTTGCCACCACATACGACCGAGGAAATCAGTTATCTATCCGAATCATATATCTAGGAAGCTGTAGATTTTTATAGAGCATATTTTTCCATATTTGATTAATATTGCATAAAATTTCATATTTGAACAATATTGCATATTTGACGGACGTAAAATCTCATTTATCACGCAAATTTATTGGTATTTGGGAAGCATAAAAAAATCTATAAAAAATAAGTAGATGAAAAGTTGGTTTAATTTAAAGAAAATTGAAACAGACCGCAACAACAGTACAAGAAAATTTAAGAAATACCGACAAAAGAATATACCCCTTCTTAGGTCTTATTTCAATATTTAATATTCTCACAAAATTTAAGTGATCATAGGCACTAGACAGAATACAATTTACAGAAGTACTTGTTTAAACATTAATTATACTCAATTAGTATAAAATATGTAATTTAAGTATGTAAATGAGAAAATATTTTTGCAAATTGTAAATAAACTCTAGGGTGCATTGGTCGCCCCCACTACTACAGGCTATTACATAATAAACAATATATATAATAAATATATAATTTAAAAAACTTTTAACATATTAATACTGCCTATTTCAGGGCTTTCAACTGCATATTTTATGGCATAAAAAAAATCAAGTCTCTACTGATGAGTGTCTGAAGCTAAGAAAAACATTTTAAAAAGCCCTTGTTCACTTTTTTTTTTTTTTTTTTTTTGGCTGGGTAGGTGCACATGAAAGTACCAATTTATTTTTATCAGTTATCCTATTTCATTATTTTTCTAATTTTTATGCAAAGAACGTCGAGAAAAAAAATTAGTGTCACAAGTGTGACTCTAACCGATGACCCCCGGCTTGATACCCAGAATGCTCTACTGCTTGAGCTATTGTGACTTCTGTCCTCAGATATCAACTACTTATTTCAACCGATTACTATTCAAATTTTTCTACTTTTTATTTAGGTTAATTTACAGTGTAGTCTTGGATGGAAGCCCTCCGTTGATAGGCTGTGGTTTGAATCCAGGATCCGTATATGTGCTTTTTTCTCAACTTTTTTATTTCAGTATTGACCCTTTCCCAACAATACTGTGGTGCCCAATGTATAATTTTTTTCTTAAATTCCTCGCTTTTCCCCTTCTCCATTGAGCAACCACGAATGTACCACGGCTGTGGTCAGATAAGTGTAATAAAATGTATCACACAAATTACCATGACTCGCCGGTCTGGAAGGACTGCTGCTGTCTTCTTGGCTGCTGTTGCTGTTTTCGCCAATCCCGCTGTCCCTCATTGAGCTGTGCCCGCTGTGGCCGCCCTGGATGTGCCTCTTGCCGATTTTCTGACACTTCACAGGTTGGACATCATCAGACGTGCTTTCAACATTCTCATCTTCTTCCTCGACGCTTAAGCTGTTGTCGCTGCTTAAAAGTGTATCACCGGTATCACCATTCATTTCTTCTTTGTTAGATCTTTAAAAAAAATTAATTTAATTTATTATTATATATTATAGTATATATTAAATAATATACTTACGTGCTAAACATGTTGAGGAAAGGTGTTGGAGGGTTGTCTGATATATCTACAAGGGGGGTATCCCTCCAACAAATTTCATTCTTCCAATCTCCACCAAGTCTGTAAAAAATAAAGCGTTTAAGGAAACAGTTCAAAATAAAATTCTTCAGTAAAAACTTACAAATTGCAAAGATGATCGACTATAACATCTGAATCACCCAATAATTCAATGTCAAAGTAATTTTTTGGTAATGTTTCACGATTAATTAGAATCTGAGGTACTTTTGACGGCAAGGAATCTGGAAAAAAAAAAAGATTCGCTATTGACAATATGTCAAGTTTGCCTGAAGTAAGAACTGCGTCAGAATGTTTTTAGTAATCTTGCCGAGTGAGCGGATTTTTCCACTTTCGTCAAGGACAGGACCAGTTTCGGACGGAATATTCCGATTCTGAGCTAGATTTGTTAATTGTAAGATTTCATATTAAAACTCGAAAATTTGTTTAAAAAAATTTTGTACTAGAAAATGTAGCTTCTGACATTGGCTTGAATGGCTGAAATTGTTCTTTTCTAGATTTGATGTAGGAAGTATGTATCGACTAAAGAATGGATTTAAACGCTTTAGTTTTCTTTTTACTTCCAATTGTTTTACTTTATTTTACCTAATTATATTTTTTATTCTGATCACAGTAGTATTTAAATAGCCTAACTGGGCTAATATATATTTAAAAAAATACTTACATGGGATTAACGATACAGGTCTAACTTTTAAGGAAGATCCAATAACAATAAGGAGATCACAATGTGTTACGTCATACTCTATCGATTCATGAAAAGCATCCGATAGATGTTCTCCAAAGAAAACAATGTCAGGCTTCATCACATTTTGTACCCCTTCTAAATCAAAATAAAATAATAAATTATTTTATCTGTATCCTATACATATTAGTACATATTACAAATGTGATCACAAAACGTTTTTTCAAAACTGCACCCTAAGTACACTGCCATGAGAAACCGGCCAATGCTGGCACATAATGTGAGGGTTGAAGGGGCAATGTGGCGGGTTTTGGGGATGGAAATGTATAAAGAGGGTTGAGCAGTAGGATTAGGATGGACTGGGAGGTGGTGTGAAACTGTTTGAATTGGGAACGGTCAAGATGGATTTTTGTCCTAGGAGGTTTTATAGTTGTCCAAGTCTTCTGTTAAGCTGTCTTTTAAGTCTTGTGTAGGGATTCCATGACATTCTGCTGTCTTGGTACAGTCTTAAATATTCAACTTGAATGGAAGTCAGTATCTGTACTGTGGAAGGCAAGACTGTTTTTTCAACATAAACACAGTAGTACATTTTTCTTCCTCTAGTATTGTCCTCCAGTACCAGTCTTCAATAAGCTCAAGGTGTTCTGGGATGTTGGAGTGGATTAAATAACTAAGCAAACACCAAAGGGAGAAATTATATCATTAATGAAAAAATAAAAATTACCAGGTGGAGTACATTTTGTACAATATGGGATCTGCTGTTGAAAGATTTCTTCCTTGATGTCATCAGATGTCACTTTATAGCCACAAAATGTACATGACGCGGTTGAAAAAGATCCTGTTACATGTTTCAATTAATATCATTGATTTTACCATATTGAAATAATAATAAAATACAAACCGTGACATTCGATGACGTTATTTATACCGGCCACTTTTTCCAAAGTGTCGATATTTTGCGTGTAGTTACGTAGGAGTTTTTTATTTTTTTCAAGGAGCTTTATAAACCTGTGACACGGCGAAGGTTTGAATTGCCCGGGATAGATTTCTTTGGCAAATTTGAAAAATGGTTTTGGGTTCTGCCGGAAATAGTTAATGTCGAACATCGCCTGCGGGTCTGGCAAATCGGGAAAATCCTCAGCCAGCCTCGCATAGACACCGTTCTTGCTCCTAAAATCTGGAATCCCACATGATACTGACACCTACAAATAATAGAACCTTGTGTCATACAGTCTAATCAAAAATTACTTTTTTTTAATACTTACCCCTGCACCAGTGAGTACAATGATATTGGAACATTTATTAATCAAATGAACCACATCGTTTACAGTAGTGACATCGTGTAATCTTTTTCTTTTAGGTGGTTCTAAATTATCGTTTATAATCTAAAAGAAAATACTCAACTCTTCAATTCTTATTCTTTGGTTTTACATATTTTGTGATTTACAGCAATACTTACATTCCACAAAAATAGGTCGCTTACTGGATCAGGCAACGTTAAATCCTTTCCAGTCAAATGTGTGATAACAGCTTCCGGGTTTGCACCGTTTGATCTTTGATTTTCTATCCAGCAAATGACTCCTACGGCATCTGAAATGTTAATTATTTAAACATATGCCAATTGGTCAAAACGTTCTATTTTAAATTTTAATTTTTATACCCACTTTGCACGTATTTCAAATGATCCCTAATCATTTTCCCGATCAACTCCCTGCACGTGGCATAATATCCAGGGTTTTTATCGTCGTCTTCTCCATCCTCCCCTTGGTCATCCGGTAGTCCAAAGCTACAACATTAATGAAATTTAAATTTTCAAGAAAAAATTAATAACGTTTAAAAGTAAACAATCACTTACAAGTCACCAGGCTCAAAAAATAGTCCATCTTCGTCTTGTAAATCATCACCTGAAAATTAATTTGAACATTTATTTAATAAACAAACAAAGATACGAGACTGTAAAAATAATTTTAATTTAAACTATACCACAAATAACCTTTTCTTTTTATAAACTTTGTTCGGTAAGTTGCAATACAAATGTAAGACTCAAAGCAGCAGAAACAAGCCTATGCAGATAATGGCAGGAAGAAGAAGAAACAGCGAACATGTCTCCTGTTGATGTGAAAGCCTAGGCAGGCTCATCTCCTGCTCTTAGGAGAGGACGATTCAAGTTCTGAAAGATCTTGTATAAAAGCAAAGCCTAAAGCTTAATGAAAAGCTCTACACAATGATGAAGATTGCACAAAAGCCAATATTGGCTATGGCGTGCATGGAGGTAAAGAAGTTGACGCCTTTTAAATACCAGAAAAAACAAAAATATGTTTTGATGAGTTTTACAAGTACAAAGTTGCTCCATTTATAATTTTTAAACAAAAATTATATTATGAGATTTCTCTGTGTGTTGGATGATAAATAAAACTTGGTCATTACTGATAATTTGGTCCGCTGGGTTGTTCTGTCAGAATGTGTTTCAGCATTTTGCAATCAATCAAACTACTTCGTCGTCATTAGTGCCAAAATGTGCATTTAACCTAATGGGGTGAAAAATTTGTGTAAAAAATTAAAATTAAAAGATTTTCTCATTCTAAAAATAAAAAATTACCTTTATTGAGCTGAAAGTAGGTGTCATTGTTTTAAAATTTACTTGTGGAATATTTACAGTTCAAAAAGAGCGTTTTGCCATTATGATTCTATTTTGTTTTATGCAGTTCTTTCTCTTCTTAATGAATTTCAAACATAGGCAAAAGAAATATCATTATTAATGAGGAAACTTTTTTAACAAGGGGATTTCAACTACTACTATATGAGCCTTTGTGGTGCCGGTGTTTTTGAAAAAAAGCCCATTTGTATTATCCTGCAGCCCTGCATTCAAACCCAGGACCATTAGCTTACAGTGATGAGCTCCGTGTTAATGCCTACCATTCCGGCCACCGGCGCCCCAATGAGGAAGACTGTCTTGGCATGAGTTCATTTTTAAGCAAATATGCAAATATTAAACTTCCCTTAGTTTTTGTATTAAAGGATGGAAAAATTAACAACCCTAAAAAGTAAAATGTCCAAATTAAAAATATTAAAAGCCTTTATTAAGGTACAAAGACAAAGCTCTTTGCCATAAATGTTAGATTTTTTTATGACAGATTTATGCAAAAGAAATGAAAAAAAATTGTTATTTTAACAAGAAAAATTGAACATATAATTCAGTTTTGGGTCAAAAACCATCAAAATGTATCGAAATAGATGGTCAAACACAAAAAATAAACCAACTGTTTAATGTATGAAAAATAAATGTAATTTCCCCTCCCCCAATATTTTAGCTTTAACATGTTTAAATTTGTACTAGAAGGTCAAAACGTAATAAGCCAAGTTTGGACAAAAAAAAAATTAATAAGTGCATATTCCAGTAAGTCTTTAAGCCTGACAGACTTAGAATAGGTCGAGAGGGGAAACCATTTGTTTTAAACACAATGTGCCTTTTTAGACATGTCGAAACATTTTGATAATTCTACTTGTATCAAAGGATTATTTTTAAATCGTAATCCTTTTTGTTTTTTTCTTTTACTTTTTCATTTTACCCAAGATGTAGAATTATAATTGTTATGGAGATGGGAGGAAGTTATAGTCTTAAAGAATTTCAAAAGCCAGTAAAAGAAATTAATGTTTATCACTCCCTCAAAAAAATAAATAAAAGCCGTATGGTCAGAGAACCATCAAAATAATAAAAATTGTAGCCCCATGAATAAAAATCTGCTTCAACCTCCCATCCAAAATGAATGATCCAAAAAAGTAGTGTTCAATGGATTTTCAAAAGTAGTCAAACACATTAAAAACTGCCCTTATATCTTAATCTTATAAGATATTTAAAAAAATAAAATAAAATATTGAAGGTTGTTGTAATATAATATTTTTATGGGGGGGGAGGTTCTTGGCCTTTAAGAATAAAGTTCATCTTGTTCAACATTCCACTCAACATGTACTAAGCATGGCAAGTTTTTAAACTAAAGGAGAGGCAAAATGAATAACCCTAAAAAGAAAAGTATCCCAAATGAATTTTCAGTACGGTCAAACACACGAAAAACTGTCCTTGTAAGATATAAATCACTGATGGAATATTAAAGGTTGTCAAATAATTTTTTTTTTTTTTTGAATGGTAGGAAGGGGCTGAAGTTCTTGGTCTTTAAGAGTTTCTAAAGTGTAATTTTTCAAGTGTTGTGTAATGTATGCAAATTTCCTTCAAATCCCAATAAATTTTACAAAGCATGTTAGGTTTTTAAACTAAAGTAGAAAAAACTGAACAACCCTTAATGGTAACAATAGACCAAATTAAATTTTCAATATGCAAAAAACTGTCCTTATAAATTACAAAAATTCCTTCTGAAATATTAATGTATGTGATCAGATTATATTTTTTATGGTCAGAGGGTAGATAAAGTTCTTGGTCTTTAAGAATTTCTAAAGTGTAATTTTTAATCTACCCAGTTAAAAAAGAGAGAAAAACAATATTACATTGCCTGTTCATTCATCAGAATGAAGACATTCGCCATTTTAACCCAACAAAGTGTACATGACAGGTTTTTAAACAAAAGGAGAGACAAAATTAATGACTCTAAAGAGTAAAGCGTTCAAATGGAATTTTCCAAATGGTCAAACATGCTTAAAAACCGTCCTTAAAAGGTATAAAATCATTGATGGAATATTTATTCTGTCTTATTCTTGTTGAACATATTTTTTAATGGGAGGAAGAGCAATGAAATTCTTAGATTTATTAATTTTCAGTGTTATTTTTAAACCACCCACTCAAAAAATAATTTAATAAAATAAAATAAATAAAAACGTTATTACATGGCTTGAAAACGATCAAATGAGGACATAGACCATGAACACAAATCTGTTTTAACATCCCAACAAATCATACAAAGTAGGGATAAACTACCCTAAAAGTAGTCGTGAAAAAGAAAAAAAAAGGCAAAATAATAATAATAATAATAATCTGAAAACCACTATATTTTACAACCACGAACACAAATCACATGTCAAAAAACATGTACTAAAAATGGCAGATTTTTAAACTAAAGGAGGGAAAATACAGTCCGAAAAGGAAAATCGTTCAACTTTAAAACTGTCAAAGGAAAAAGATTTATAGTGAAATTATTTTTTTTTTACAATTTGGTTTTGAACTTGTTAAAAAAAATAAAATAAAAGGTTTGACGCAGTTTTGTTTAAATCTAATTCAACTCTTAATTAATCTGTTTTGTCTTGTTATTTTGAATTTGTCAATTTTGTTAATGTTAAAAATTATTTACACAATTTTAATTAATTGTATAATTTTTAATTTTTCTCCCGAGTTATCATTCTTATCAGTTACCTGGATTGTTAGAAGGTTTGATAACCTGAGTTTTCTGCTAATGGTTGTCTTTTTTCAACGAAGCTGGATCGGTATAGTAGGAAAAAAGCTCAAATGTCTCGCCACAAAGGGAAAAAGTTTTTTTTTAGTGAATTAAGTGCTGGTTTGAATTTATAGTGAAAGAAAAAGTGTAAACGCGTTTTGTTTTGGCGATCGATCATGTCATTAAATCAACTGTGCAAGGAGACTGTATTTATAAATAGACTTCTTGGTCGCTGGTAATATTATTCTTTAACTTTTTGTTTTTAATTTTTTTTCACTTCTTCATAGGGTTATTTTATTTATTTATTTTTTGTTACACAAGTTGGGCAATCGACGTCTCGAATTAGGAAGAAAAAAGTCTTGTAGTAGAAAAAAGAACGTTTATTCATAAAAGTAGAGTATACATGTTTAATTAAAAAATGTTTTATAATAAAAAATAAAAAACGACGATAAACGGGGCCATGTGAGAAAGTTTGACAAGGGAAGCCCGCCCACGCCCACCCAAAACTTTTGACAGTGGGAAGTGGAAAAGCTAGAGAAACGGGGCCCTTTTTTCCTCGTTCCGCCTCCGCCATATTGGATTCGGGCCGATGCGGAGAAAAGCCTGGAACGGCCGACCCGTCGCTCAAAAGAAAAGCGCTTTTCTTTTGACGAATTTGTTTGGTTTTTCTTTCCTTAAGACTTACTATTTTCCGTATCGTTATTCAGCTCCTGTTCGAGATCGTCCAACTTCAACCGCTTCGGCGGCGGCGACTCCGGACCGTCGGGGAGGCTCGCCATCTTCCCTCTGTCACGTCCAGGCACAAACTGAAACGCTAGAGTGAAAGGTTGACGCTCGGTCACCAGCCCCGGGGTCCCCCACCGGATTTCCAATGGGGAAAATTCAATCCGTCATTATTTTAAACGATTTTCCGAGTATTTTTCTCGTTTTCAATTTTTGTAAAGATCTCCGATGAGATCCTGAAAAATATAATGTCGGGGAAACAGCGGCTACTTCCCGATTCTGCACGATCAGGTCACCACTGGTTTTCCAAAACCTTTGCCGCGTCAATCAACCATTGAACTTTCTACTATTTCTATTTTTTTCCCTTTTGTTTTGAACCCGAGACCTTTACCTTACAGTGATGTTCGCCGTTGCGGCCATTATTTTAAAAAATTATTTTACAAACACATTTATTATGATAAAAGTAATGAGTTGAATAAACATTCTTCACCTAGCTAAGGCAATGGTTACTGTGGATGCGAATTCTGACTATAATTTATTCTGAGAAGTTAATTAAATGAACTGCATCATTTACAGTAGTGACATCGTGTAATCTTTTTCTCTTAGGTGGTTCTAAATTATCGTTTATAATCTAAAAGAAAATACTCAACTCTTCAATTCTTATTCTTTGTTTTTACATATTTTGTGATTTACAGCAATACTTACATTCCACAAAAATAGGTCGCTCACTGGATCAGGCAACGTTAAATTCTTTCCAGTCAAATGTGTGATAACAGCTTCCGGGTTCTTTGATTTTCTGGTCAAAACCTTCTATTTTAAATTTTAATTTTTATACCCACTTTGCATGTATTTCAAATGATCCCTAATCATTTTCCCGATCAATTCCTGCACGTTCCATGGTTGCATCCAGGGTTTTATCGTCGTCTTCTCCATCTTCCCCTTGGTCATCCAGTAGTTCAAAGCTATAACATTAGTGAAATTTAAAATTACAATGGAAAAATTAATAGTGTTTAAAAGAAAAAAATCACTTACAAGTCACTAGGCTCAAAAAACAGTCCATCTTCATCTTGTAAATCATCACCTGAAAATTAATTTGAACATTTATTTAACAAACAAAAAATAGATTCAAGACTGTAAAAATATTCATAGGACCACATCCCTGATCCTACCAAATATACTGTTGAATAACAGCTGGTCAATCACCTTTACATCATAAATAATTACATGTCATTGATAAAAACTAAAATTAACTACTGCAAAAGTTTACACAAATTAAATCATATTTTGTCAGTCTGAATAAATTCATTTAAAAACAATATATGAATGTGAAATTTAATGAGATAAAAATAAAGAATAATTTAAAAAATTAATCAAAAAGGAACTATGTTAATAAATAAGTAAAGCAAAAGAACTGAAGAGAGTTCAACTTTATTTTTTCTTTATTTATTTAGAAATCGATTAACGGTCACTAATCACCACACATTTCTTTTTTCTTTTTTAAGGGGCATCTGACAGTTTGGTGATTTCAGCCCTGAGTGCATGCGAAATACAACAACACACACTCAATAAGCACTCACACAAATAAATACATTCACACCAATATACATTGCATTCATTCTATTTAGTAGATGGAGTACTCAATATTTCTACATTAACCTACAAACAATAACAAACTAATCTAATTGGGGTCGACAGGGAACTTTTATAAATATTCAACCATCGACCCGTCATGTACACAACTTGATGCTATTTCACCATTAGCCCCTTTCCATTCACTCTAACAAATACACTCACTTATACAAAATACAGAAATACAAAACACAAATTTTGTTTGTGCTCCCTTCAGTGCAGTCTGGAAGAGGTGGTGTAATGGTCTGGGCTGGGATTTAATGAACTGGACTCATCTGTCATTTGCAGGAGCTTGATCACCATCTTTTGCTAGGTTGAAAGGTGTCTTGTGCAGTCGAGCTCATGGTAGGGAGAAAAGATTGGGACCTTCTTGCGAAAATGATAGCACCTTTTTTCCATATGAAATGGTCAAATTTTGTTAACAAACAACATAAACAAATTGTTTTCACATATCAACAAGTGTACTAAGCGAATGGCAGGTTTTTTAAACTAAAGGATAAATAATAAGAATGACACTAAAAAGTAAAATATCCAAATTGAATTCTAAAAGTGGTCAAACACGCTAAAAATTGTTCATAAATTATATTTTTTATGTTAAGGAGTTTGGATGAAGTTCTTGGTCTTTAAGATTTTCCAAAGAGTAATTTTTACACCACCCACTCAAAAATTAAATAAAAGGATTATATGCCCTGAAAATCATCCTAATTTTGGACTATGAAAATAAATCTGTTTCAACATCCCTGCTAAGTGTTTAAGCAGGTTTTTAAACTAAAGGAAGGAAAAATAAATGATCCTTAATGGTTAAGTGTCCAAATTGAATTTTTAAGAGTGATCAAACATGCAAAACCCTATCTTTATAAGTTATAAAAGGCACTTATGAAACATTAACGGCTGTGGTTAAATTATATTTTAAATGGGAGGGAGGGCAGTTGAAGTGCTTGGTCTTTAAGAATTTTCAAAATGTAATTTTTACACCACCCCCACAAAAAATAAATAAATAAAAACAATATTACATAGCCTGAAAACGATCAAAATGAAGACATCAACCATGAACACAAATCCATTTTCACATCCCAACAAAGTGTACTAAGGTTTTTAAACTAAAGGAGAGACAAAATGAATGACCCTAAAAAGTAAATGTCCAAATTGAATTTAACAAATGGTCAAACATGCTGAAAAACCATCCTACCATCCTCATAAGGTATAAAATCATTGATGGAATATTAAAGGTTCTTGTCAAATCATATTATTTATGGGAGTAAGGGCGATGAAGCTCTTGGTTTTAAGAATTGTTAAAGCTAATTTTATACGTGTTATAATGTATGCAAATTTCCTTCAACACCTTGACAAATATGTGGTGTTTAGTGACTGTTAGTTAATGATTATTTGGAGATCATGAGATGCATTCTGGTGTGACATAGGTTTTAAAAAACCTTTTTTTATTATTCTTTATTGAGATCATCTTCAGGGCCTGGGATTTATAAATATATAATGTATAAATTTATTTTTTTTTTAACTAAAATTTTCTAGCATGGTATAATTTTTTTTAAATCTAAATTTTCTATGTATAAATTCATATTTTTTTCACATCCTACATGTATGTATTTGTAAAATGTAAACAATGTTAATAAATCCCAGGCCCTGAAGATGATCTTAATAAAGATCGAAATGGTGGCACAATAAAGAAAATGTTTTTCTGAAACCTACATCACACCAGACTGCATCTCATGATCTCCAAATAATTTTGACAAATTTTACAAAGCATGGCTGGTTTTTAAACTAAAGTAGACAAAATTGAACAACCCTTAATGGTAACGATAGATCAAAATGAATTTTCAAAAATGGTTGAACATGCAAAAAATGTCCTTATAAATTATAAAAATAAATGCGTTATGAAATATTAATGGCTGCGGACAAATTAATTTTTTATGGTCGGGGGAGGGGGAGGGGTATATGAAGTTCTTGGTCTTTAAGAATTTTCACAGTGTAATTTTGTCACCACCCCCATAAAAAATAAATAAATAAAAACAATATTACATAGCCTAAAAACCATAAAAATGAACAAATTTTTGCCCATAAACACAAATCTGTTCTAACATCCTGACAAATTGTAATAAGCATGGCATGTTTTTAAACTAAAGAAGAGACCAAATGAACAACACTAAAGAGTAAGCGTCCAATTTGAATTTTCCAAACAATCAAACATACTGAAAAACTGTCCTTACAACGTATAAAATCATTGATGGAATATTAAAGGTTCTTGTTAATCATATTTTTTTAATGGGAGGAAGGGCAATTCCTTCACGAAGAGGCATCAAGGTATGTTAAGCTATAGTGGTTCTGCATCAATCCATAATAAACCATTAAAAAAATTTGAAATAATAAAACGATCGTCTCTCTGAGATGGCGACCTGATCCATTCCTTTTTGAGTAACCTCCATTAACTTGGTAGCGATGGAAGACTCTTCTAATGTTAAGCACCCTGGTCATATGTACTTGACTTCTTCTTCCAATAATGCTATGTTTCTAGCCAACTTAAAACTATCGCTCAAACAAATTTGAAACTTAAAAATGATACAACTTAAAAAAATCAAACCACCGGAACATTAAAAAGAAACTTTACAGAAAAACCGATCAAGAGATTGACTATTCCAAGATTTACAAAATCCAATTGTGAACACTAAGAGATTTAATCTGTTTTATTTACCTGTAATCCTTTAAAACGGTCCAAATATTTTGTAAGATAATCAATTGAGAATTGTCTAAAAAATAATTAAAAATATTAAGGGCGGTAAATTTTTTTTTGCCTACCGTTACATTTTGAGAATTTTACCCGTTTCTTAGTATTACTAAGTGCCGCTAGAGACAAGTTTGATATAAAAAGTTATTTTTTCGCCAATGATTTTTTTCTTATTGTTTTAACGAATTTTTACGCTTTTCTAAATAGTTATTTTATTATGTTTTAAATTACTTCATTATTTTGAAGACAATTTAAAAAAATTATGATGAAGGCATTGGTTTGGTTCTAGTCAGTCCGATGCACGTATTGGAACCTCCTTTGGTTTACCGATTCGTATTCGTCGGGCTGTAAAACTTCAGCAAAATGGTAATTTTTTATCCATTTTTATTAACAAATCGCACGCCGATCCGTTTGAAATTGTGAACGGTTTTTGTAAAAAAATCCATTTCGAAATGAAACCACTGGAGAAAAATTATAAAAAGAGCCCGGAGTAATTTCGTGCTCATGTGCGTTGTAATATAACCTAATGCTATCGTATTTTTCCAGACAGAAGGGACCGTCACGATCAAGACTAGGAAGTTCATGACCAACAGGCTTCTAAGCCGTAAACAAATGGTAAGATTCATTTTGATTTTTAAAAAATTCAAAATAACTCATCTTTTTTCTGTAGGTTGTTGATGTCACTCATCCCGGCCAGCCTTCCGTCAAGAAGACGGAAATCAGGGAAAAGCTGGCCAAGATGTACAAAGTGACACCCGATGTTGTCTTTTGTTTCGGCTACAGGACTAACTTCGGAGGTGGAAAGTCGTCCGGGTTCGCCCTCATCTACGACACCCTAGACATGGCCAAAAAATTCGAGCCCAAGCACAGGCTGGCCAGAGTGAGTATAATTTAATTTTTATAAACAATCTAAAGGGCCCCATATGTGATACAGCAGGCATGTTAGTTATGTCTGAACAGTACGCCCGATGCCTGGCTGCCGGTAAACTGTACGGGCCATACATGTTTCTGCCGGCTTGTCAGTTCAAACTTAGGTAGGCCATCCACTGGAACCGTTATCAGGTGAACTTGCTTGGCCGAATAGGACTGGGTGATCCGAAAGCAAAGAAACAAATGACCATGCATTCATTAGAACAGAAGCACTTTATGATCCCAGTAAAGTTGGACTTTCCAGTCCTATTCGGCCGAATAGTTACTTCGACTTCAGTTATCATCCGTGTGACATCAAACACTATTGTTCAATGCCAATCTTTGCTTTTTGTTTACTTTTTTTTTTTTTTTTCCGTTTTCATTTCGATGGATTGCGAAAAATTGATGTGCTGTTGAGGAGAACCAGGCTCTTTGGGACATGTGTGATCCTTTCTATAATCAGAAAGATGTCCAGTGTAAGCTGTGGTCTAGGATAGCTAGAAATGGAACTTCCAATATTTTTATTTATTTATTTCTGCATTTGTATGTAAAGTAAGAATTTTCGAGCAGCAGTAAGGCTATGTCGTGAACTGAAACAAATATAGAATCCGGATTTAAAAAAAAAAAGTTTATAAACTCTAGGGGCACTAGACACAGTAAACTTGTGCTAAAACAAACCTCACCAAGATTGGCAAACACACTGCTTCAATTGGATAGGGCCAGACTCAAAGGAGTAATAAGACTATTAACCAATCACTGACTTCAGAGAAAACATCTTCATAACAGGCATATTCAGCAATGATCTCATTTGCTGATTATGCAATGAGGAGGCTACTCATATCATCTTCAAATGCGAAGCAACGGCTCGATGGAGACAACCTAGCATATAGAGAAAACCTAAGTTGCAGTCCCTGGGTGTACACTTACTATTTTCAAAGCTAAATATTTTCTTAATATTTACTTTTTACTAAATTGTACTTTTTTAATCTAGCATGGTCTGTATGAGAAGAAGCAGCAAACTAGAAAACAGAGAAAGGAAAGGAAGAACAGGATGAAGAAGGTCAGGGGTACCAAGAAGGCAAAGATTGGTGCTGCGGCTGGAAAGAAGGTAAACTTTTATTTACAATTATATGATAAAATATCAAAGTATCAAATCCTCAACTTTACACTAATTTTAGAAAAGTTACATTATAAATTTCGATATTGGCAGATTGAAACTAGTGTTGATAATGTGCCTAAAATCATAATTGAGTTTAAAAAATTTAATAAAAATTAAATTAAATAACTTTAAAATGTTAATAAGAATTAAAGTATTTTTTTTTTATTAATTTATTTTTTTACTTGCAACCTAAATTAAATAACTTAAAAATGTTATTCATTTTGTATTTTTTTTACTTGCAACCCAAATGTTATTAAAAAATATTTTTTTCTTTTTTACTTGCAACCCAAATAGACTGGCTAATTTATACATTTTTGAACATTTCATGTTACCATATTGTCTTATCTATCGGATTATCTTGGATTGAATAACTTCTTGACTTTAAATAAAAATTAAATAACTTAAAAATGTTATTACAAAACAAAGTGACTGACTTTTTATCTCAACCAATACCTTATGAAAAGATTAATTAATTGAAAAAAAGGTTATACAGTCAACCGGACCACGAACTCTAATGAACTTATTACAATTTTTTTTTAACTTGCAATGCGAATAGTTAATTTATATATTAGTGAACATTTCATGTTACCTTGTTATGTCACAAATTTTACTTTAACAGATGATTATATGTTGCTATTTGTCTTTTTACATAATTTAAAATGTTTTAACATTTCAGGGAAAGAAGTAGAAAATGCTTTATCTACTTTTTGTATTTTCAATGGTAGGGTATATTCTTTAATAGAGTGTGCCAAATAACACAACAATAATGTGAAATGAAACAAGTAGAAAATTAATTTTAATATATCGTGTAAAAAATTAACATTAATAATTGACAGTTTCTTTAACCATATTTACTTTTTTAACATAACTGTAAACATTTTAATGTGTGAATTTTTATTACTTATTATTTGATTGTTATTAATTCACTGCCCTTGTTTGATGTGTTTGTTAACAAATATGGTTTTTATTAAACTGCTCTGAAATGTCTTTATTACAAAAATCTCCGCTTTAGTATTTACAATTTTGTTAATTTAATTAATTTTCCTTTTCAGTGAGCTGTAATGAAGGAGGGAATGGATTTGTGACTTCACTCGCCAAACATGTATATAGTTTTTGTATGACCTGTGAAGGAATAAATACATTTGTTTTTACATACATTTATTTACTATTATTATAAATCCAAATTTTCTCAATAAAGAAATACATTTCTTATTAAATTGTAATATAATATCTTTCTTTAAACATCGTTGCTTTGCTTCATCTCGTCTAGTATGTTCTCTGTAGCCTCATCGGGCAGTATTTCATCTGGTTGTGTTGGAGATGGCGGAAATTGTTCATGGGGCATTTCGGATGAAGTCGGAAAATCGGGTGTCGGAGTTTCTCCTTCACATGGGCCATTTATACGACAGGCGATTTTTCTCATCCATTTTCCAACTTGAGTAAATATGCCTGGCTTTTCTCCACGGGCTTCATTTCCTAAATTATGCTTTTATGTTATATATTGTAATTCTTAGATGGCTTTCTCAATGAAGCTAAGGGAAATTGGCAATTTCTTCTCTTGAAATGGTATTTTTCTTATTTTTGTCGGCAATCCACTCAAAAGTAATTTCTACATGAAACAATCATAAATACGTTGATATTTGTTTTCTAAATCTTGCTTATTTTGAGGTTTCGGAACTACCAAGCTATATTGAAAAAAACGGACTTATCCACTTTGAGTAACAGCAAGTCAAGATTGCACCTTTCTCAACATTGTACCGTGTTTTATGAAAACCTATGTGCAAATACACGTGTTTTATTAAACCGGGGATTTCTCCTCAGCTCACTTAGGTAAGACGCTTCACTTAGTTATTACAAAATTATCTACATTTTGTTTTTCGTTTACAATAACTAGATTAAACTCAATCGTACGGCTTTAAATGATTCTCTTATTTTAGAAAATGTAATGAGATGTGTAACCTCAAGTTGTACCAGTAGTTTGTTTATTACTGATCATTTTGGTCTGGCAGATGCGTTTTGGCATATTCACTACATTCAGTGTTTGGCCCAAATGACTCGGTAACAACCAAATTACGGGTTCATTACTTCAGGAAGCATGGGAGCATCTCACAAGTTGTGCCAGAAAATAAGCTTCTGTAAGGTAAGATAAAATAAAATTTACCTTCTGAAAAGAAAAAGTCGACTATCTTATTGAACCAGTGTTTCTTAAAAGTGCAATTTTTTATTTGATTTTGGTCTGGCATTTCTTCTTCGACAGTTGGTGGCTGATCAAAATCTTCGGATCGTTTAAATCTTCCTTCTAAATTTATTGAATTATATAATGTCAGGTTTTCTGTACTTGGAGTCTGTGTCAATATGCTCGGTATGATAAAATCACCTTAAAATTTATTAGAATTATATGAAATCAAATTAAAAAAAATAATAAATTTAAAAAAATTATACCAAAATTAAACTGCCATTTATCAACCCCGGCGGGAGAAAATCCCCAATGTAGGCCATTGGACATATTGAGTTTCCATGCAAGAAGAGAAAATTCTGGGTTTCCACGTATCACCCATGTTATTTTTCCATTGGTTTGCCTCCAGTTTAAGGTAATTAAATCTGAACCTGGTCTTTAAAAAAAATTAAATTTATAACTTTTAATCATTCTTAAATTTGTATTACATACTTGGATAATTGGTTTAAAACAAAACCCCCTGCTAAAATGCCTAAAACAATATTTAATTATTTTTATTGTTTATTAGTTGTTACAAGATAAACTGACCAGTGTCAAATGCTCTAAAAAGGCTTGTTTTCCAAATAGCTTTCCCAGGAACGAGCCAACTCCAAGAGAACTTTTCGTTCTTCGTTACAAGTGTCGAGCTTTTAAAAAAGATAGATTTGATATCTAATGCTTCCGAGTCAATCTGCCATTCCTGAAAACACATAAATTCCAACATGCAAAGATATTTTTTACAAATTGAATGGGGAAAAGATGATATTCTGAATGACAAAGATAGAAAAATCTTCCTGAAATCTGTGAAAACATTTTGCAAGTCCGCAAAAATAATGCTGAGCACATTCAGGCCTCCAACTTTTTGTTAAGTATGAAAATTTGGTTTGAATAACAGCACCTCATAGTTGTGGTGATAGACTACTTTTGGTTTTGTGGATGAAATTAGACTAGGTATTATAAATATTTATTTGAATTGTTAATTTTTGTATTTCTTTCAAATAGAAATGTACAATTTACAAAGCTATAATCCTGGTTACCATTAATTTAAAAAAAAGAAATCAGTAATTAAAAATACAAAACGAATCAAAATGGTTTAGCTTTTACAAATAATTCTATTATTTTAATTAAATACAAAGTAAAGAAAAATCTATACAATAATTAAACATTTTTGTTACCTCACAGCATCTCCCAAACGCAATACTCAAAAAGAACACAAACAAGAATTTTTTACAAAAAACGTTTTCCATTTTTTCAAGTTTCTGTCATACAGATGAATTTTGTACTGGATGTGTATAATGATCAACGTGATTTATTTTCAATGCTAGATATACAGATATTGTTTGTGCGGGTGAAAAAAAAGCATTTCCAGGATGCTAGGAACTTTTGAAGGTTGACATATTTCCTCTAAAAAGGCAATACAATAGAGTGGGGAAAAATTCGACTGATATTGTGTTTTGTTTTTAAACAAATGGAATTTTTGCAATGTCAAGGTTCAGCCTGCAAGCCCTGACAAGGCGATGGCTAATTGCTAGGAGAGTAGTCTTTCGAGGAAACCCATAACCCAATCTGCAATCCTTGTCATCCAGCCCCTCTGATCATTTGGTCCTGCAAAAAACAATTTTTAAAATAAAATATTAGTTTAAAAAAAATTAGATGTAATTGCTTTTACCGTTATCAAAAAGTTCTTTGAAGTATCCTTTGAGACGCTTCCAGACGGTCTCTTCCGATTTTTCAGCTTCAGGCTCTTCTCGTTTGATCCTAGAATGCCTTGAAGAGATGGAATCTTTCCCATGTGCTGGCTGAAATTAATTTAAATTGTTATAATGTTATTATTAATTAATTATTATAAGCAATGTTTATTTATTATTTACATACTCTAAAAAGGGTTAAAAAAAATTTTTTTTATAAGGTGTTTTGCTAATGAAAATTTATTTTTAAAAAATAGTATTTTTAAGACTAATTTGCCTTATTTAATTTTTTTTTTTTTTTTTGGTTTATGTAAGAAAACATTTCCATGTTTTTTATTGTTTGTTTTTTTAAATAATCAAATATTACATATTTACATTTATACCCATCATATTTCTTATATTGTATCAAATTTATAATTTATTATATTATTTATTACTATGCAAGATGGTCTTATCTTTTAAAATATAATACCAATAATAATAAATTATAAATTTAATGCAATGTAAGATGCTGGATGATGGGTGTAAATTCCCTAAATGTACAAAATGATGATTAGGAGAAAGTACAGTTTACAAGTATTTTTCTTGCTTCAGAAGTGAAAATTTTGATTTGGTATATGCAAAGCCAAATTCCTACTTTTCCCAGAAATAACACACATTCAACTATATGAGACAGAGCAGAGAGCTAATACAAGCTCTTAAACGTAAATGAAAGCAGTCAGAAATGTCAGGGGTTCTTCACATGTTGACTGAGTAGAATTTATTAGACGACTTCTCTATCTCCGATGAAAAGTGGGATCGTTAAAACAACGTTCAAAGTGAAAAATCCTAGGGAATAAAACAGCGAACCTACAACTCAACTCTAAAACCTGATTACTTGCCAAAAAGGTTTTGCATTAGGTAATTAATTGACTAACAACAACCGCATTGACTTATTTTTCTCTAGATAACTGCAGGTGTGCTGGAAATTGAACTTGGCTGCATTTTGCTATTGTACCCAATATACTCGCCTTGCCAATTTAGATTTTCACTTATTCCAGATACTGCAAAACTATAAACTGGAAAATATTTTATTTGAGAATTGCAAAAAACTGAGTAGTTCATGCTCAAAGAATTAAGAGTTTAAGGAGGGAAGTACAAAATTACATGGAAGATGCCTCAGGTATTGAAACAAAATTTATATCTTGTTCGTTAAATTTGTTTACAAGTACCTGAAATTTTTAATATAATCTGCCATAAAAAAATATGATAAATTAACATAATTTGTTGAGAAAAATGTTCTTACCTTAAAGAAATTCTCATTTATGAACATTTTGCCACTATCTCCGCTGGGTATGCGAATGTTCCCTTTAATAACAAAAAATATATATTATAAATTGATTTAATATTAGTGAAAACTTCCTACCTAAATGATAAGTCCAGCTTGTTTTTGAAGGGTCAAAACTTATTTTAACATTTGATTCGCATAATGTTAAATTCCACGGTTCAAACGGCAATTTGTTGTTACCCGACGTCCAAGTCAACAAGGATTGATTTGTCAATTTCCAGTTGACAAAAGAATGCCTTTGCCTATTGTTTTTATAGAAAAAAAATCCTCCAGACTTCATCCCTGGAAAGAAAGAAAATTTTGAATGGATATTTTACTGTTTTTGAACATTTCTCATCTTACCTTTATTGTCCCATTTATTGAAAAAAATTTCCCACATGCCCGATCCATCGTTACTTTGCCATTTCCAAACAGTCTTGTGCATGTTATTTGTCTTGCTGTTGTTCAGGTAGTTGTGAAATTCTGTATTTTCATTTTCGACCCCTTTGGACCACACTTTACTGCATTTATTCTAAAAAAAATAAAAATGAAAATATAGAAAACAAATACACCTCTATATAATGATTAATTTACAAAACAATCAAATGCTGCACTGCCCAAAATCAACAAAGAACAGATGAATACTTCTCGTACAGGTAACATGGTGAAAATGATGCGTGGTAACTCCCGTCTGACAATATATAAGCTCTCATATTGATGTCGTTTTGCCCGTAATTCAATGTCAAAAATCAGTGTAAAAACCTTTACACTTCATTATTTTCGTTTTGGGTATCAGCCGTTTTCACAGCCATAGCTGAGCACAATAGAAGACCTTGGCTTTTGATACAGCGTCTTCTTCACTGAACTCAAGAAAAAAATAATAATTTCTCATCGCGCTGATATTAAATTTAAACCTTTTGCAAAATGACATGAACTTTTTTTTGACAATTTATTAACTTTTATAAAATTATATTGGAAAGGAAGATACTAGTTTTAATTAATTTCCTCCTGAAGCTCCTCACTCGATCCAATTGCAATTTCACGCTCTGTCTTTCCTTGGAATGTGAAAAAAAAGGTCAATTCTCTTTCATAACAAGCCAACTTCTTGTACGAACAATCATAATGTTTCATAAATATGGGAATATTTTAAATGATCATTTCGTTCTATATTTCTTTTTTTTTATGAAGGTAAATTATTCAAAGTAATATAAGTATACTGTTTAAATAATACATATTAATTAAATAAACACTTCTATGTTTTTGATTTTTTTGTTTACACTTTTTTTCAGTTATCGAAAAAAATACCAAATTGAAGTTTCTTGTGTCAAGGATATCTTCCAATGTCATCATTTTATAATTATGTAATTTCACCATTGTCAACTTTATTAAGGGATAATTTGGGCAGATAATAAAGAATAAATGCATTATTAAAATGTACAATACTCTGTGAAACACATTTACGGATCATTTTACAACAAATGACAACACTTGGTAAGTTGATATCTGTTCACCACATGACCTGGTACCGATTCAGGCCAAGTTCAAGGCTATTTAAGAGCATTTAATCCTGTGTTATGCTTGCCGGATCTAGAAGTTTTAAATTGTTTACCGATCATTTCTGGTCGATTGATAGCCAACCCTGCGAGAATAATAAGACTAAAACGATCAGTAACGACCAAATAACAGGTTCATCACCCCCCAGGCTACACGGAGAAATCAATTACAAATACAAACTAAAAAGAATGCTGACATGATATGGATTTGCACATTTTCATGTGCAACAAATTGTACCAAGAATTTGTGTTAATAAATAAAAGTAGATTGAGATCAATTATATAGAAAACCAGTTTTAATAAGAATTGAGAAAATTATGTACCATGAAAGAAAATTCCTCTCAATTGACAAAACAAATTAGAACAGAAAAAATGGATTTTTCAGGCAAATAAAATTGAAAAATATTAAAAAGAAACTACAAATTTGCTAAGTACTAATGATTTTTTTTTTTTTTTTGTCCTTATGTAAATGTTACTGTAAAGTAAAATATTATGTATCAAAATTTGAAAATCACGTTCCCTTCATATCAGTGACTTAATAGTTGTAAGCATTTACTGTGTTTCCATTGCATGAAAATTAAATGCAAGAATCACTCACAAAACTGCTTGGGTCACCCATTTCCAAGAGGCGAAGCAAGGTGAGCCATCAGTTTGCACAAGACAAGCATGAAATTCATATCTACAGGCATGTCTATCGATGCCACTACTCAAAAATACAATTTTACTAAAAAGTACAAGTAAAAGGTACTGATATCAGGATGGAAATAATGTAGCTAAAGGCTATGGAGGTTGATTTCTTACCTATACTTAAGAACCACAAAATAAAGTAAAAACTAAAATGACATAATGATGACAAAATGACAATGATACGGTTATGAATTCAATATGAAAACTGTTCATGGTATTGTATGCTTTTTGGTGAAGATCCAATTGATTTGAAAATGAGAACCCTGATGTATATGTCTTTTTGGAACCACTGATGGACAAAATAAATGCACCACCCTTAAATTTTAGTGTATTTAGGTTAATTCATGTTTTGCATACCAAAAATTCTTAAAAAACAAATTGAGTAAAGAACAAAAAAACAGAAAATTCACCAACAAATAAAAATGTAAAAAAATACTTTTGTCCCCTTTACTGAGTATTTACACATCTGACACAAATGTCCCTTAAACTCCTTTGCATTCCTTGGAAAATATTTCTGATAAAATCCTGAGGAATTCTTTCCCACACATCAAGAACAACCGTTTCCAAATCTTCTAAAGTGTTGGGACCTGGATTTCGCCACCGTACTCATCACTTAAGTTGGTCCCAAATGTGTTCAATTTCAGACCAAGCACACAATTCCAACCTCATTCAGGTAGTCATCCGCAATACGTGCTCTATGGGGGCCTGGCATTATCCTGCATTGACAAGGATCTTTCACTGATGTGGGGGCACTACATGATCTTCAATTAGTCTTGTAAGTAATCCCAGTAAAGTTAGAGATCTTCTTAGCACAACAACCAATTTGGTGCAGGCATCCATGAAAATGCCACTCCCGAACAGCTATGACCCACCTTGAGGAACTGGACAGCATGGGGCGTACCTTTCTCCTGAGTATCCATATTTGAGGCTGACTCACCTCATCCATAAAGAGAACTTGTCTCCAATCTTCTGATGTCCAATTCAAACATTCCCATGCTAATTGAACCCATTTTCTGAGTTGTAGTAAAAAGAGTCGTAGCCGACGAGGCAGGTGTCGGTTGTAGGTTGAGATAAGGAGTTGGTGTCCGAGGGGATTGAAGTCACAATAGCTCAAGTTGTTTTGTATATTTATGTATGTATATAGAGCAGCGGCGAATTGAGCCAAAGGTCATGGGTCCGAATCCTACTTGTGACACTAATTATTCATCTCAACTAAAAACCTTAGATAAAAATAATAATTAATGTCAATTATGACCACTAAGCAAATATGGTTTAATTAAATGAAATGTATGTTTTAAGTCTGAACATCTTTCAGGAGAATGTTGTCTAGGTTTATGTATTTATTTTAAAGGTACAAATAGGGCTTTATGCCCCCTTATATATGCTTATATCAGAAATATGTATATAAGTAAGAAAGTAAGTTTTATAAACAAAATAAAATAATAATAACAGCAATAATAATTAATAAAACATGTAATAAAATATACAAAACAATAATGACAATAATATATTTTTATATATTAATTATTTTTAATCGAATTATGAGAGAGAGGGAAGAAAAGGAGATGATGCATGTTGTTTTTAAAAACTCAGATGCCATGGACTTGAAAGGAAGCAGGAGGGAAATTCCATAGACTTGACCCTGCAATTCTGAAGGATAAGGCTAAGGTTTAGAATAGTTAATTCACTACTTTCGTGGTCCACTTGACCAATTAACGAATTAATCGAATCCCTCTCGTGCCATTAACTTTTTTTCATCTCAACTAAAAACCTTAATTAATTGTCACGTTTAGAATAGTGTTGAAGGCTTGGGATATGATTGGTGTGTTTAGATAAGTAAATTAAATCAAATAAATGTCCTCAGCATTCATTCCTTAGAAAAAAATCTTAGTATTTACTGGAAAAGTTTGTAACACGAGTAGCCGAACACCTTGTATATTATTGTAAAATTAATGGCTGGTCTAATAAGACGTTTTAATAAATAAATAAAATTTAATTTAAAAAGAAAACTAATGGAAGATCATTTAAAAACATGGAAAAGAGTAAAGGTTCAAGAATAGAGCCTTAAAGTACACCGTGCAGTATCATTTCATTTTTTTGCTCAGAAAAGGTTTTAGTTTTAAGGAATAGATTGAGTGTTTTTCTTATTTTAATATGATCTTAAGACAATCAGGTCCATTGTGTTATAATTTAATTTCAGTTTTTTTTTCTAAAAATTTCAATTCTTCGTTTTACTTCCATATATTTGCTGTTCAAGTTTGGATGTTAAGGGTAGTTTCAGCATTTATGTTTTTTCCTGTTTTAATAAGATTTTAAGACAATCGAAGCCTTTATTAAGTTATAACTTAATTTAAAAGTTGTGTTTTTTCCAGAAATTCCAATGACAATTGTTTCAATTTTTTGTTATGCTGTCCAACATTTGCTATCCAGGTTGGGCTGTTAACAGAAATTCCAGTGAAAATTGTTTAAATTTTTTTTGTCTTTTTACATTTTAATATGATATTTTGACAATCAGGTCCACATGTAAATTATAATTTAATTTCAAAGGTGTATTTTTTTTTTTAAATTTCAATGAAAATTATTTGTTTTATTGCCAAATGCTTTCTGCCCAAGTGTGGCTGTTAAGGCTTTTTTCAGCGTTCATCTTTTTTTTTCTTGTTATAATATGATTTAAGTCAATCGAAGCCTTTGTTAAGTTCTAACTTAATTTCAGTTGCATTTTTTGCAAATTTCAATGAAAATTCTTTGTTTTGTTGCCAAAGGTTTGTCTAATAAGACCAGTTTTAATAAATTAAATTAAATAACTATTGGAATATCATTTAAAAACATGGAAAAGAGTAAAGGTCCAAGAATAGGGCCTTGGAGTACACCAGCTGAAATTGAGAGAGAAGAGAAGAGGAGATAGAATTTGAAGCTTTAACTCTCTGAGTTCTGTCAGACAGGAGGAAACGAGATTAGTAGCAGTAGAAGAAAAACCAAAAAGATGCGTTAGTTAACAAATAAGTAAATTATGATTTATGGAAGGAAATCCATCATGGAAAAGTTTAGGTGATATACAGAGTGCTACCATCTATGGAGCGTCGGATGAATAGTTACTCAGCCTCCTCGCCACTCCTGAAGGTGGCTCTGGCTTCGTCGAAGGATTCACCAGGGCGCCGAGCAGCTACTGCTCTCTACCCCGGTGGAGTCAGTGTTTATGTTTACTGCTTGGCGTCGGAGCGTGCGTAAAAGAAACGATCCGCACATTGGCAGTAGTAGTTTAGGTTCGAGTCTGGCCTCTTGCACGGTGCTCAACGCGCCACAACATTCAAACTCGTTTTTATTTTAAGGTTCGACACGGTTTTAAAAAAAGTTATAAAAATACAAAAGAAAAAAGTTTAAAATCCGGCCGTGTTTATCGATTTTTTACCTTACAGGCCAGTGATTTTTCCCCCCTCGTATACACCCCGGCCGGATAATCGGAACAGTTATGTAAATTATCTCAGTTTATTTAACAAAAAAAGAGAAAAATCGAGTTTTAAATAGCGAAAATGCCAACGATCGAAACAGTCGGGAGCGAGAAGGATGCGGACAAAGCACCAGTTGTCAACGGGACCGAGACTCTTCCCAGGCCGAGTGGAAAGGTAAGAGCCATCCTTCTCATAGACCTAAGCCTCTTCAATGAAAAAAAAATCACAATCCAAAAAAGCAAATTTCTATTAATTATTTTAACAGCTGCATTCAAACATCGATTTTTTTTCCTATTTTAACTTAAAACCTACAAGTCTATTAAAATATTTCAATTATTGTCAAAACATTTCCAAAGTATTAAACAACAACCCTCTTCAATTTTCAATGTAAAAAACAATAGAAAATTACAATTTATATAGATTTGGAAAACAATCTTGATGAGTGTTTTGAAAATAACGCGTGAAAACAACAACAAATATTCAAAGATTTATTTTGTTTACACACTACTAGAAATTGTTGAATTAAGGCTAGTCAATAACGAATTAACTTTGTTTGTTTTGAAATGGTTCAACAGTCATCTTTGATCTATGTATGAATTTTAAATTTATTGACAATATTTGCTGTTACGGGTGGTTTAATTTTTAAGGAATTTGAGTCTTTTTTTCTTATTTTAATATAATCTTAAGACAATCAGGTCCGCTTGTAAGTTATATTTTAATTTCAGAGTTGTTATTTTTTTGCTCAGAAATTCCAATGAAAATCGCTTAAATTTTTCGTTTTACCATCAAACTTTATTGTACAAGATTGGCTGTTAAAGGTGGTTTTAGTTTTAAGGAATTTGAGTCTTTTTTTCTTATTTTAATATGATCTTAAGACGATCAGGTCCACTTGTAAGTTATAATTTAGTTTCAGAGTTGTTTTTTTTGCTCAGCAATTCCAATGAAAATTGTTTAAATTTTTCGTTTACTATAAAATATTTGTTGTCCAAGTTTGGCTGCTAAGGGTGGTTTCAGCATTTATGTCTTTTTCTATTTTAAATATGATTTTTAGCCAATACTGGCCACAAGTAAAGTTATAACTTCATTTCAAAGTTTTATTTTTTTGGGGAAAAAATTTCACTGAAAATTCTTTGTTTTACTGTCAAATGCTTGCTGTCCAAGTTTGGCTGTTAAGGGTAGTTTTAGTTTTAAGGAATATATAGAGTATTTTTTCTTATTTGAATATGATCTTTAGACAATCAGATCCACGTAAATTATAATTTAATTTCAGTTGTTGTTTTTTTGGTCAGAAATTCCAATGAAAATTGCTTAAATTTTTCGTTTTACTATCAAATATTTGTTGTCCAAGTTTGGCTGTTAAGGGTAGTTTTAGTTTTAAGGAATATTTTAATTTTTTTTCTATTTTAATATGATTTTTAGACAATCAGATTCAGTTGTAAGTTATAATTTAATTTCAAACTTTTATTTCTTTTTGGAAAAAATTCAATGAAAATTCTTGGTTTTACTATCAAATATTTGTTGTCTAAGTTTGGCTGTTAAGGGTAGTTTTAGTTTTAAGGAATATTTTAATTTTTTTCTATTTTAATATGATTTTTAGACAATCAGATCCAGTTGTAAGTTATAATTTAATTTCAAACTTTTATTTCTTTTTGGAAAAAATTCAATGAAAATTCTTTGTTTTACTATCAAATATTTGTTGTCCAAGTTTGGCTGCTAAGGGTGGTTTCAACATTTATGTCTTTTTCTATTTTAAATATGATTTTTATCCAATTAAGGCCTCAAGTAAAGTTATAACTTCATTTCAAAGTTTTATTTTTTTGGGGAAAAATTTCAATGAAAATTCTTTGTTTTACTGTCAAATGCTTGCTGTCCAAGATTGGCTGCTAAGCGTGGTTTCAGCATTTATGTCTTTTTCTTTTTAAATATGATTTTTAGCCAATACAGGCCACAAGTAAAGTTAGAACTTAATTTCAAAGTTTTATTTTTTGGAGGAAAAAATTTCACTGAAAATTCTTTGTTTTACCGTCAAATTCTTGCTGTCCAAGTTTGGCTGTTAAGGGTGGTTTCAGCATTTATGTCTTTTTCTATTTTAAATATGATTTTTAGCCTATACAGGCCACAAGTAAAGTTAGAACTTAATTTCAAAGTTTTATTTTTTGGGGGAAAAAATTTCACTGAAAATTCTTTGTTTTACCGTCAAATGCTTGCTGTCCAAGTTTGGCTGTTAAGGGTGGTTTCAGCATTTATGTCTTTTTCTATTTTAAATATGATTTTTAGCCATCATACTGGTAAAGCTTGGCTGTTAAGGGTGTTTTTGGTTTTAAGGAATTTGAGTTTTATTATTTTCACTTAATCTTAAAACAATCAAGGCCTCTAGGAAGTAATTTAATTTCAAAGTTATATTATTTTGCTAAGAAATTAATTTAATTTTTTGTTCAGAAAAGCTTTCAGTTTTAAGGAATAGATCGAGTGCTTTTCTTATTTTAATATAATAATACGATAATCAGGTCCACTTATAATTTTATTTCAAAGTTATATATTTTTTCTTTCCCAAAATTTCAATGAAAATTCTTTGTTTTACTGCCGTACATTTACCGTCCAAGTTTGGCTGTTAAGGGTGGGGTTAGTTTTAAGGAATAGATTGAGTCTTTTTTTCTTATTTCAATATGATCATTAGACAATCAGGTCCACTTGTAAGTTATAATTTAATTTCAAAGGTGTAATTTTTTTGCCAAAAATTTCAATGAAAAATTTTGTTTTTACTGTCAAACATTTGCTGTCCAAGTTGGCAGTTTTAGGGTGGTTTTAGTTTTAAGGAATAAGAAAGAATCTTTTTTCTTAAGGAATTTGAGTTTTTTTTAAATTATTGTCACATAATCTTAAAACAATCAAGGCCTGTAGTAAGTAACTTAATTTCAAATTTGTATTATTTCGCTCAGAAATTCATTTCATTTTTTTCCATTCATTTTTCAGAAAAGGTTTTAGTTTTAAGGAATAGATAGTGGGTTTTTCTCATTTTAATATAATTTGAGACAATGAAGTCCACTTGTCTGAGTAAGTTAAAATTTAATTTCAAAGTTGTATTTCTTTGCTTAGAAATTTAAAGGAAAATTGTTTAAATTTTTCGTTTTACTGTCAAACATTTGCTGTCCAAGTTCTCTGTTAAGGGTAATTTTAGTTTTAAGGAATATTTTAAGTATGTTTTCTATTTTAATATGATTTTTAGATAATCAAATCCATTTGTAAGTTATAATTTAATTTCAAACTTATATCTGTTTTGCCAAAAATTTTAATGAAAATATTTTTTTTTTAAACTGTCAAATATTTGGTTTTCAAGTTTGGCTGTTAAGGGTGGTTTCAGCATTTACGTATTTTTTCTGTTTTAAATGCTTTTAAGATAATTAAATCCACTTGAAAGTTATAACTTAATTTCAAAGTTATGCTTTTTGCTCAGAAATTCCAATGGCAATTGTTTAAATTTTTCGTTTTGCTGTCAAACATTTGCTGTCCAAGTTTGGCAGTTAAGGGTAGTTTTAGATTTTTGGAATATGTTTTAGTATTTTTTTTCTATTTTAATATGTTCTTAAGACATTTCTGTCCATTTATAAGTTTAACTTAATTCTACAGTTTTTTATCTAAAGAAAAAAATTTAGATGCTGACATTTGATATTTTCTTAGATAACTTTTGGGTATTTAATTTTTATATAAGCTTTTATTTTATCTTTTGTGTTCGTATTTTATATATCAAATTTATTTAAAACGTTTTCCCAAGAAATTCCAATGCAATTTGTTTTAATTCTTCGTTTTGTAGACCAGATGAATTTTTAAAATTTGATGTCAAAGTTTGGCAGTTATTGGCGTTTTTGTTTTGAGGAATAGATTTAGTTTTTTCCTAGTTTAATATGATCTTAAGACAGTCAATTCCCACTATAACTTATAAATTAATTATAAAGTATTTCATCTAAAGAAAAAGATTTAGATGCTGCTATTTGATAGTTTCTAAGATAGCCATTGATTTATTTTCACTGATTATTATTATTGATTTACAATCACGTCATCATCAAAGTTATATTTTATTGCCAAGAAATTTTAATGAAAATAGTTTTCCTGTCAAAAATTTCCTGTCCAAGTTTGACAATTAAGGATGGTTTCGGTTTTTAAGCCTTTCTCATATTTTAAGGTGACCTTATGATCTTAGGATCAATTTTTTTTGAGTTGAAGAGATAATCAAGCCCGGTTTTAAGATATAAGTTAATTAAAAAGTTTTTTCATCAAAAGGCGAAGTCCTCGATGCTGGTGGTTTTAAGAGTGGTTTTAGTATTAGGAATACATTGAGTTTTTTCTAGCTTAAGGTTATCTTGGGGGAATCAAGTCCGCTTGTAAGTTATAAAGTTGTAACTTAATAACGAAGTCGTCTTTTTTCCCCATAGAGAAAAGTTCTAGGTGCTGCCATTTCATGGTTTCTAGGATAAACCTTGATTTACTTTTTTTTGCTATTCATTTTTTGTATTGGTATTTCATTTTATCGGATATGTTTGAATTTTTTAATAAATGAAATTTATTAAGAACGTTTCTGCCAAGAAGTTGGAATGAAAATTGTTTAAATTCTTCGTTTTCCGGTAAAGCCTTTCCTTTTTTTTTGAAGTAACACAAAGAATTTAAACAATTTTCATTGAAATTAAAAAAAATACAACAGCAATTAAGTGATAACTTAATTTAATGTCTTAAGATGACGTTAAAATAGAAAAAAAAACCAATCTATTCCTTAAAACTAAAACCACCATAAACTGCCAAATTTGGGTGCTAAATGTTTGAAGTAAAACAAAGAATTTAAACAATTTTCGTTGAGATTTCTTGGAAAAATGCAACTTTGAAATTAAGTTATAACTTAATTTACTGTCTTAAGATTAAAATAAGCAAAAAAATATTTTCCTTAAAACTAAAATCACCCTAAATTGCCAAACTTGAATACAAATATTTAACAGTAAAACAAAGAATTGAATTAAAGAATTAAACTATTTAGTTAAAATTTCTTGGCAAAAATGCAGATTGGAAATTAAGTTATAATGTACAACTAGACTTGATTGTCTTACAATCATATTACAATAAAACAAAAAAGTCTTAAAACCAAAACCACCCTTTACTGTCAAATTTGTACAGCAAATGTTTCAAAT